GAAGATGATGAAGTGTGCACACTGGCTGGCGTGTTTTTTTGTCAAAAGTTAGCTTTAGCTTAGTAGCTAGTGTTCATTGCAGATCGTTTTTTTTTTTTTTTTTTACAGAAATTTGCCAAAGATGTGGAGAAACTGCTGGGAACTAAAGGCAACAAACTGTTTGAGAAGAGAAAAGACAAAAGCTTTTTACGAAAGGTGGAGGAACTGGTAGGATCCATGCGTGGATTTCAGAAGGAACCAGGGAACCTGAAGGAGTACTCGCCCTGGCTGAGTGGATTTAAAACAGACACATTCAGCAACGAGCTGGAGATCCCAGGTCAGCACAGAAAAGAAAATATTGTACATTGTCGGTTTTCACATATCTTATATAAGCCTATAATCTTTGTAGTTTTTGGTGTGTATGGCTTGTAATTTGGGGCAGTGATTCCAAACTAAACTCAGTTCTGTCCACTGATGAAGATGTTTTCCTTCCTGTCATTGCAGGACAATATGATGGCAGATCTAAACCTTTGCCTGAGTATCATGCAAAAATAACAGGCTTTGATGAAAGGGTATGCTTTTATTGTTGTTTACTGTCAAATTAATAAATGTTGCAATTGCACCCTGGGTGAGTTTGTACTCCCAGTGTGGGCTGGTCAGTGTATCAGAGATCAGTGTGTGTGTGTGTGTGTGTGTGTGTGTGTGTGTGTGTGTGTGTGTGTGTGTGTGTGTGTGTGTGTGTGTGTGTGTGTGTGTGTGTGTGTGTGTGTGTGTGTGTGTGTGTGTGTGTGTGTGTGTGTGTGTGTGCGTGTGCGTGTGTGTGTGTTATTGTGTGCCCTGCAGGTAAAGGTGATGTCCTCTATTCGTCGCCCCAAACGTCTGATCATTCGTGGGGACGATGAATGTGACCACCCCTTCCTGGTGAAGGGGGGGGAGGACCTCCGCCAGGACCAACGCATTGAGCAGCTTTTTGCTGTCATGAACATTCTGCTGAGTCATGACGCCGCCTGCACACACAGGGGCTTGCAGTTGCGCACCTATCAAGTCATTCCCATATCCACAAGGTACTGGGCTTGTTTGTACTAAGATTGAACACAACACTACTCCTGTCAAGAAACTTAATTTACTACTCCCAATGCCTTTACAGAATTGGTCTAATTGAATGGATGGAGAATACCTGTACTCTGAAAGAGTTCCTGTATAACACACTGACTGAAGAGGAGCAGCAGAGGGCAGCAGGGTACAGTATATACATTTCACTCTAATTACTTGGATGTCAGCCCATTGTCAGTGACAAAGCTGAAATAGATTGTTTGCTAAATTTGCTTTGCGACAAAGGAACATTTTATCTTTTCTCGAATTTAACTAATTCAATAAACTAATTACTTAACCGAGTCAATATTGAATAGACTTCAGACAATAACCTTTTTTTTTATTTATAGCACCACAAATGTCACAAAACAACAATCAGCTGACAATAATCTATTTATATTTTATGATCATACATGTAGAAGACATTTTTAAAGTTGTTTAGTTGAAATGTTATTTTATTGAATATTTAAGCTTTGTGCTAGTGTAGGTTTTTCACAATTAATTTAATTATCAGGCACTTTGCAACAGTGGCAGTGTAGTGTGAAAAAGGTTTGTTTTGTCCACAACCCAAAGATATTCAATGCACTTCAAGTTTTGTTTGAAATTGTTGTGCAAGTGTGTCTATATTATGTTTGTATAACTTTAACTGTTTCTTAAAGGTCTGTTAAAGTCTACGAGAAATGGCTCTCAAGCTTTGCTCCAAATTCAAATGTGAGTGGTGTGCAGCTATATGGTCCGACTTACAAGTAAGTTTCCTGAATGCTTCAATTTTGTAATTTACTATTCACAGCTATTGTAATTTTAGTTTTTAAAAAGATCTTTTAAAGAAGCGTGCCACAGGGGGAAAAACTCATTGAGCTAAAGCACTTTCTTTTCTGCCAGGAAAGCGAAACGTGCTGAGACTGTCAAAAATTTCCTGAAAGTGTTGCAGCATGTGCCCAGGGATCTCCTGAAGTAAGTAAAGAATCTCTTAAAAACAAAACTTCTCATAGAGGCTACAAACTGAATAGAAAACCTGGATTTATTTTTGAATTTGTAGGAGAGCTTTCCTGAAGATGTGCAACAGTCCGGAGGCCTTTCTTTCCTTGCGCTCCCACTTCATCAGCTCTCATGCTTTGCTTTGTGTGAGCCACTGGATTTTAGGCATTGGAGACCGCCATCTTTCCAACTTCATGATCAACATGGAAACAGGAGGCATGGTTGGCATCGACTTTGGTCACGCTTTTGGTTCAGCCACGCAGGTTAGTCATACTGATTTTATTGAGGGCAGAAGTGAAAACACTGTATTTTAACCACATATTGAGATATTTCTGTCTGGTGGTCTGACAGACCAACATTGCTGCCCACAGAGAAATGTATGAATAATTCCCTATCCGTGCATCCTCTCTGTCTTGTATCTCCTCACAGTTCCTTGCTGTGCCTGAGCTCATGCCTTTCCGGCTGACCCAGCAGTTTGTGAATCTAATGCAACCCTTAAAGGAGTCCGGTTTGATCCAGAGTGTCATGGTCCACTCCCTAAGAGCTTACCGTGCCGAGCCAGACCTTTTGCTAAACACCATGGATGTGTTTGTCAAAGAGCCCTCGTTGGACTGGAAGGTAACCATTACTCCTGTTACAATGATTTCTTGTCAGCTGTAGAGAAAGAAGGCAAGTACATTTTACAAAATCTCTGGGGCAAAGCTTTTGTTTGTTCTACGTTCCCTTTAGTTTTTGTTAAATGTGGCAGTAGCTTTAGGACTGGAATATGTGCTAAGGCATTAATGATGCATCACTTGTTCTTTTATGTCTAGTCCTCTTTGTCCTTGTTGCTATTTGTGTAATTTTCATATCATTTTGTATTTTTCCAGACAGATTGAATTTATTTGTAAATAATTGTAATTTGCTGTTTTAAACTTGTTGCTTTACTTCAAACCATAAATTTCCATTACATAGAACTTCGAGCTGAAACAACTGAAGAAAGGAGGCACATGGACGGAGGATGTAAACACCAAAGAAATCAACTGGTATCCGTTGCAGAAGGTCAACTTTGCCAGAAGAAAACTAGAAGGAGCAAATCCAGCTGCTATAACCAGGTACAGTGTATGGTTAGACCATAATATGACATCTCAGTCAATAGGATTTCAATAAAGTTGGACTACAATGAGAGTTTTTTGAGGAAATATGAGATACTGGTATGGTGGAAATATTGCTTAAATTGTAGAATTTATAATATTACACAATATAGTGAAAAGCCCTAATATTGCACTAATAATATCATGCATCATCATTATTCTCTTTCCCACTATCTAAATTCTGCTTCAGTTTCTTTTATACGCCTTATTGATGCAATTAATTATTGTTTTTTTTTTTTTTTTAAATCATCCTATACTGGTTTCAATCCAAAATGCTGTAACTGGTCTTCAAAAATATATAATTGGAGCCCAGAATTGTACTTGTATGTGATTATATGTTGGTTTATTTTGTCAGTGAGGAGCTGAAGCTGGGCTTTGAGAAGGACGATGCCTTCCCTGGGATGCAGGCTGTGGCTTTGGGAACTGAGGAGCACAACATTCGTGCCAAGCTTCCAGCTGCAGGCCTGTCGGTGGAGAAGCAGGTGGACTGTCTGCTGGACCAAGCCATGGACCCAAATGTGCTTGGCAGAGTTTGGGCAGGGTGGGAACCGTGGGTCTGATTCTTTGGTTTGTGTAGTATTTCTAAATAGTCTTTTGCAATAATTAGGAAACAGATCTTATCATAGGTGAACAGCCATGGGTCAAACAGATCTCTGTAATGTCAAATGTTTCCTCTTTTGTAGCTCTGAACAATAGTTCTTAGGTATTGGGTTATGGCAGAGTTTGTATGGCAGGATCAGCATATTATCTCATACATGAGAGATTCTTGTTTTCACCATCATGTTGGCCATTTCTTGCACTTAAACTCATTTAATGTCTTGTAACTTCAATTAAAAATTCTAATACTGTGAACTTGCACAAATTCATTATTTCATATATAAATTGAAATGCTTTATTATATGTTTATACAGCCAAAGAAAACTGAGTTGTTCCAGAAATAAAACACTGTCAGCTGGAATATTTAAAGCAAAAGGTAAGAAGTGTATCACTGGGGGGTGAAGCTGTTAGTAATTATGTTGCCATGAGGCTCACCTATGTGAGGTTGGCACTACACATTTCTACATGTGTAGCATTGATTTTGTGATTAGTTTGTTAAGTGATATACTAGACTAGATTAGATTCAACTTTATTGTCAAGTACTAAGACAATGAAATGCAGTTAAGCATCTAATGAGAAGTGCAAAAAGCAGTAAAGTGCAGGGTAATGTACATATGTACAGGGTACAAGTTTGTGCTCATACATGTAAGTTGGCTGTATTCTAAATTGAGTGTTTTGCACTTTGTATGTCAACGCAACATTTTGTGCTTAAAGGGAGGAATGTGGCTCTTTCATTGAGGAGTTTTGCATATCAAACCTCAATTGTGAAAACTGAGCCAAAGCACTAAATTGCAGTCATGTATTATAAAGTACAGATCTTTGTGTACATGGCTGACAAAAACAAGAACCCTCATCAACTAACATTATTGATCTTTTGTATTTTGCAAGTACAGACACATTGTTTAAAATTGTTACTTATCATGGCACAATCTGGAATTATTTATTTATAGCATGTTACCATTGTCATTGTCATTATTCATAGAAATTTCAACATAATACACTTGATGTGTATGACCATCCATTATAGTATACATGTTAGAGCATCTTGATCTCTAAACTGCAATAGCTTCATTGGGAAAGGTAATAGATTATCTGCCTGCCACTGAACTACTGCTGGTGGGAAATTAATAATAGGTTGTCCTAAACTCAACACTGTTTCATATTCTATTATAAATTATTATTGAGCCACATTGTATTTAGAACTCACGCGTTTATTGTCTCCATTGCAATTGTAATTCTCATCACATTCCATCACCCATCCACATACAGTACAAATTGTCATGTACAGTTTGTCACTTAGACACATCCACTTTGTTTCATTGAAAACCTTTTATCGTTTCATTGCAGCAAATATGTATTATTAAAGCATTTATTTCAATTTGGCAAAGACAGCAGTCACTTTAAAATACAATTTTATTAGAGTTTTTTTAGCTTTTATTATCAACTCAAAGCTGAAGTCTACGCAATATAGGTCACACAAAGGTGTTAGCACATCACATTAATTAATACATATCTGTTACATTTTAGAATTGAATAATGTAATGAATAGATTTCCATATGTCATTAGTACAAATGTGTACTACCATTTGCTCTAAATATTTATCTTTGTTAATTCATCATTATATCATCATACCTGACAAACATGAGTACATTAACACTGTCTTTAAAAGCATGTTGCCATGTTGATCTTAGCGTTTAGCTCAAAGCATTTCTGCGCCCAAGTAAAGTCTCAAAGCCGCTACAGTTGCTGTTGGCGGTCTTGTTTTAGGAGATTGAAATCATTACAAAAATAGAGGGGTTTTCTCTTTGCACAGAGAACCACAAAACGACTTTGCATCCTGTCCTTTTGCAGAGCTCCTTGATGGTGCACCATGGTCCCTGGAGCTCTTTCGAGATCTTGGGGTGGAAGAGCGCCGTGGGGTGCTCTTTCGAGATCTTGGGGTGGAAGAGCGTCGTGGGGTGCTCTTTCGAGATCTTGGGGTGGAAGAGCGTCGTGGGGTGCTCTTTCGAGATCTTGGGGTGGAAGAGCGTCGTTGGGTGCTCTTTCGAGATCTTGGAGTGGAAGAGCGTCGTGGGGTGCTCTTTCGAGATCTCCGGTTACCAGGGGCCGCTGACATGCCTTTCCGACGTAGTTCTGGGGTTTGGGTTCTGCCGTCAGTGTCCTGCCGGAGTTGTCTGTTGTAAGTCTCTAAGGTCATCTCACAGTGCTCACCATAGTATGGGTACTTGCACTCACACATTGCTATCAAGGTGCCTGGCACAACAACACACTTGCCATTTTGGCTACATTTCTTTTTGGAGCAGGGATCTACTCCCATTATCTCCTCATCACTTTTAATAAAGACGATAAACTCCCCAAAAATTCTTCCGCATTTCCCTGTATAGAGGTGGGGGGTTAGCGACAACTGGCCTTTGAGGCTGACGGAGCTTTCTGGGAGTTCAGAGTCCTCATCATTCGGCGCTTCCACTGTATTGGTGGAAGTATGACTGCTTTTTTTGTAAGCATGCACTGCTGTGTATGTCTGAGACAAGCTTTTTCCAAAAACAGTTTTCTGACATTCCATTAGTTTCTGTCTTACATCTAAACACATTTTCACCCCCTGAGCTAAGCACCCTTTAATGGCTGCTATAACAGCAGCAGTCTTGGTGTGAGCTCCTTTCACCTGCTTGGCTACAGCCACTGTAACTGTTCCTCTCTGTACCTCAGTAAACCCTGACAAAGCATGTCTTTTTAGTAATTTTGGCTTATGCTTTGAGTTTCGGGTTGTAAATGCAACAACCATCCAGTCATACCTGTCATATGTGTTTACCAAAAATGCCCTGATATTGTCTGCTATTTCTTGATGTTTTTTGGTATCATCAATGCGCTCAAAAATGTCCTTTTCAATATATGCAGCACTGTCAGATATGCATCGCTTGTGCGATGTGATTAAAGCTGAGGCAGACTCGGATGCAATTTTATGGCCGGTATCAATCCTGGCATTATTGTCTTTGCCTTTGAATTCGTAGAACTTCTCATTGATCATGTTGCCTTTACACATAAGTTTATTCAAATACAAAAACTGGGCTTTGATATCTTTTTCATGACATCTTAATCTATCAGCCAGGAGGTCTCCAAGGTTTTGTGTGACAGATGGGGATTTAGCTGTTAGGAACTGGTGCAAGACCAAAGTGCTGTCTGCATACTGGCTGTAAAATGTAAAGAAATCAGTTTTGAGTGCCTCCTTTCCTGTGTTAGCACGCACTAGCTCAGTGTATTTAATCCAGGCTTTCTCTATGTTGTTCACTGGCATTTGGTATGCACCAGCTGCCCAGGCAGCCCATTTTAATTCTGTGTGAAAGGTGTCAAGCTTAAAGGTGAGAGCTTTAAGGTTAGAGTTGACAGTGTCCAGTGGGTCTTCATTAGGCGTTACCAGCAGCAGGGTTTTGAGTGCTGCAGCAATGGGTGGTCCAGCTACTGGCACTGGTTCTATACTAGCTATAAGGACCTCTCCAATCCCCCTAAAATTTTTCTTTAACCAACTGCCAAGCTTTTTAACCATGTTCGCACGCTGATTGGGATGCGATTGTTGCTCCAGTTCCCCCTCGTCATGAGGAGTGTCGGGTGGAGCACTTAAGACAGGGAGGCAGGAGGACATCAACAGCATGAACAGCAGGCCTGGAGATGACATGACTGACAACACACACACATACACACACACACACACACACAATATGACAATCACTTTAGTCACTTTAATACTCACAGCAGAACAGTTCATGAAAAAGACCCAACTCAGTGTCTTTAAACCACACAAGTGTGTAATTCCACCATTCTGTTAGCCTGATCTGTATCTACAGTACGTGCTGGATGGACGGAACACTGGTAACTTGAGAGCTGGTCATTCAATGTATTTCACTGGGTGAAAGTCAAAGGCACAACAACCATGAATAGGATTACGTGAATTTGGTAGCTTCTTGCCCTAAAAACCTTACTGTTTGTATTAATTATAATAATAAATGCAAAACAAGCCTCACCTGCAGACCTCGTACTCACACACTGAATATTTCTGAACATTTTGTCAATGTACTCAACAGACCTGGAAGGAGGCTTGGAGAGCGTATCTGCCCGTGGTATGGATGCTCTGGAAGCTGATGGGTCAGTGCGGCGTTCCGCCCTTGGATCGGTCAGTGAGTAGGATTTGGTTGGTCTGTCTGGAGCTGAATGGAGTCTTGGAGAAAGTCTCAGATCTGCAGCCTTAACACTGGTTAGCTTTATAAAAGGCTGACCATGTCCGCCTACTTGTTGGTCGAGCAATTTTTTAACCATTTTTGGTCTAACAGTTGAAGAGGGGTGGCTTCATCTTGCAGAGGGGAACAACACAAGGGAAACTGGTGACCTGAGAGCATCCTGGTTGCTTATAATAAAGGGGGAAATAAAATTATGTCTGGATTAAACAAAACACAACTACAGGACAACAAATATACTGTCTAAGATGGCATTTCTTCTCTATGAAAGGATTATGTAATAATAGCAGCAGGTCAACAGGATTGTTTCTCCTGTGGGTTATAAAGATTATTATGTTTTGTTTTAAGGTTAAATTCAGGTTTTGGCGTTGGTTGAAATATTAAAGGTTCCCTCTGTGCAGAATGCAAATTGTATGATGGGGAGTTGATGATGAGACTGTCAGTACGGTTGAAACAAAAAACAAGCCAATCCATTGTCATTTCTTTAATAACTAACTTATTTAACAAAAGAAATTAAGCAACATTTTAGGATTTCTTTCAGAATCTATGAAAGCAATCAACCGGGGACCTGGACTTTCCTATTATTAAAAAATAGTTTGTAAGGTACCACAGTTCATACAGAAATTGTCCATTAAAATGTCCTGCGATGAGTTAAAGTGATCTTTCTAATTTGTGGTACTTTATACTAAAGTAATTTATATTTCCATGTACTTTGTCAGTAGCATTTGTTTAGTATTTTTGTAACTGTTGACTATGTGAAAAGGGAAGCTTTACTTTACTGCAGCGGTGCATGAGGTCAGTGATATTACACTTAAAGATAGAGCGACCAGATAGTTCAGGCACTCCACAAAGTAATGTGCTGTGCATTTTATAATACGTCTTTGTTCATGTGTTAGTGAAGGAGTCCAAGGAGCCCTTCTGTATGTGTGAGGGAAAGATTATAAGTGAAAATTGTAAATAGATGAAGGTAAACGACATGAAAAAGGGACAAATGGATTTCGGCAAATGGAAAACAGCCTGCAAGGAACAGTTAAATTGTATTGCTTTGTCATTACAGGACAAATACAGTTAATTATATCACTGATGGTTGTGTTCCATTTAGCTGTCTGCTGTGAGAAAGATCTATTAAATAGTTGGTCTAAATTAAAAATTGCAACTCAGATTTGGTTGTTCTAATATGTCACTGTATTAAAAGACATGTCACTATATTTGAGAGTGAAGTCTTTTATGAATGGAAAATGAGCTGCAAAATATGATTTATTATTTTTTTATATATATTACTGGTAGCAGCAGTTGCATTTTCCCTTTTGTAATTTAGTTTGCCCAAAAAGGCTAAATGTGAATGTTTAAGCACACATACAAGACAGTGTGACAGCTCCTTAGTACTAGTAGGTTGTGTAATATGTGTAATATCTATGAACACATATAATTTTTTTTTGATTTCTGCCTTATAAAACATCAGAGGAACTTCATGGTTCAAGTAGGTGAGCCTCACAAAGATGTAGAATTTGTTTTTCCCCAAAAAATATTATTAATATCATATTAAAGTTTATATTATCCAAGTTCTAAATATATAATCACTATAGAGAAATTGGAACAAATTATGTGACTTACTGATACTGATAAAATGATACTTAAGGCTTCAAAAGTAAACCACTTTTAAAACCACGCACAAAGAACAAAAAGCAGAACTGCTGTACCTTTTGAACTGTGAAATGTTAACCTGTCTGGTGCAAGGCAGGAAACAACAGCTGCAAGTCTCCTCAAAGCAGAACTGATGAAGCATTTACTGGTTCCTGAAATACCTCAGAAACCCAGCAAAGCTCTGCAGAAGACTTTCTGCAATTTGTTGACTGGTTTTGTAATATCACTAGGGCCTTCTGAAATGCAACTGTATTAAATCAGCTTATCTATAAAGAGATTACAGATCAATTACTTGTTATACCTAAACCTAGTAATGCTGCATCAAATTTTCATTATCAATTAATCCGTCAGTTATTACCTCTATTAAGCGGTTGGTCCATAAAACATAAAAATAACGTCACAATTCCCTAGAGCCAGATCAGTCTTTTGTCCAACCGAGAGTCCAAAACACAAAGGTATTCAATTTACTGTTAATACAAATGGTCAATGACCAAAATAGTTGCATTATGTTGATTGACTAACCGATTATTCGATTAATTGTTGCAGCTCTAAAAGATATTAACACAATCAAACTACCTGACAAAGATATCTTGTACACCAAGTCCTCTGAGACTTCAGGACAATACTTATCCTGTTTAATTTTACAGGTCTTTAACCTCTGTATTATTACTAGAATGAAATTGCATTTATTAGCTGATTTAGTGTAGTTTATGGTTATAATTTGATTAAAGCATTATATTATACAAATAACTAGCATCCTTATCAGCTAATAATTTGAATCACCCATTGTATGTTACTTAAGCACAGATCCCTTTCATCATCCAGGTTTTGTACGACACTGTGCAACTGATCAAATGTGCAATCTTAATTCCCGATTTCAGAGGAATAGTACTTAACTGCAGCGTGACTAAACAAATAACACACGAACATCTGTTAATCCATTTTAATAGATTATACAATCAAAAATAAGGAAACAAGAGACAACTGTCCATAACTCAAGATTTCAGTATTGCTGAATACTATCCCAGATGCTTTCCAACGCAGTGTCACAATGGCAATAATTCATGTAGTCTTCGCTCCAGAGTTGATAGACATGGGACTAGGTCAGTTGTTGTTCACAGTTTATATCTCAGAATTATTCAGGTAAAATTATATTTTGGCATGCACAATTTTTTATTCCCCTGAAATGAACACTCCGGCAATTCCGATACACATAATACTCCATTGCCTTTTGCTGTTCCTTTACTGATTCTCTTTGCAGTGCCATGGCTGTTGCATAGGACATTAACCACCACATAATAATAGTGTCACCTGTCATTCCCCATATAAAATGTGGATACTGTGACAAAGTTGCACATCTTGATCTTGGAAACTTGGACAAGCGTCTTATTATTTTTTGGCCACTGTCCATGTAGTGTGACAGATTTGCAGGTATTTTTTTTAACTCGTGACTAAGTGTTATTTTAATGCATGGATTTGTAAACCCAAGTAGAACTCAAGTTGTACAGAATACCAAAAAAAAACCAGAAAAATTTGAACATAAGCTTTTTCTTCGTTTTTTTTTTTTTTCAATAAAAATAATTTCAACATTAGTAATCACTTCTTTAAAAAATTACATTAAATTTGCACTTACATAAAAAATAAAAATATCAAGTAAAATATGTAACACCCCACTGCAAAAAGTGTCAGAGGGGAAAAAAAACAGCTGTTGGCCAACAGATCAGACCTGGGTTGTAGAAAGGCTGTTGTTGCTGAGGCACCTTCATATATCAGCCGCACAAACAGTCTGACAATAACTACGCTGCATATTTTTGCATTATGTTAAATGAGTTAAATAGCTGCATAAATAAATCTGAATCGGATAGTCGGTAGGAAAAAATAAAATGTTTGGTACCAATATAAACCAATATTTCATTTTCGCAGATCATTTTCAATTGCAGCTTACGTGCCTCTCTGGGTCTGAGGGGAAATACACGCTTAACATCTTTCCCTAATTTTCATATAGAGACGTTTATGTTGGAGTATATTCTCAAGAAAAGAGGCTAACTAAATGAAAATGTTAAGCCAAAATGAAATATTATATATTTTTAAGGACTCTGGGTTAAGGCGCAGAAAAGCTATCTTTTACTTGTTTCTTGCATTAGGAGACACATACAATACCATACAATGAGAACAAAGGAGAAGTACCAGTTTAGTTTTGAAAAAGCATGTAGTGCATTTAGTATCTACATAGACAATCTTTTATAGGTTTATATTTAATGACCTGAACTGCAACTAATTAGGCTGAAATCTACCAAAGTGCATGATGCATAATTTGTATTTTATGTAGAACGTCATGGTCCATTATCTCTGTTTGTTATTTCCGTGTTAGTTTTAGAGTAAGGAGCACGTCGTTTTGTTAGGCCTCAGTGTTCTTCAGTTATAAACAACCTCAAGTTATTTTTTAGCAGAGATGTTTCAGAGTAAAGCAATTAGTTCATTCGACTTAAGATTAAAAAGGCATCAAATAGAAATAAGACCTTGCGTAAGGAGAGATGATAAATATAACATATTGCTGCATGAGAGACCGTGATGATCATTTGATGTGGCTCACTCTTTCGAGTGTAGTTCCACAAAGTAGAATATCACAGATGGGATTTCTGTCAACAAAGCCCAGTTGGTTTAAATGCATGCAACACTGTATCTTCTAAAATAAGACAGTAAACCAACTCTTGCCTGATGTCAGCTTGATGTACAGACAACTACTTCTCAGTTTACGTTGAAAGCTCATGTTTGTGTTTTTATCCAACATGCCTGTCTTTAAAAATCAAATTCTTTTATTATCTGTTTAGAGCTGTAAAATCAAGTCATATTCAGTAATGCCGTAGCTCCCCATCTTACTTTTGCTAATTCATTTTCTAATGAATTGTACATCAGTGTGATACCACAGGCTCAGAGATAAGGGTTTCATGATGGGCTATTTCCATTTGGAAAAGTAGTGAGTGTTCACTGTTGCAGACCAAGCTTAAAGCTTAACGAAACTCAATTGGGTGGATTTTTAGAAGAACACAAGTATATCTTAATACCTGTTAGCAGTAGGCAGCTCTTGACTTCATTCAACAGTAGTGAATTAAATCCACTGTTTTGATTCATGTTTAGAAATGCACTTGCAGCAGCATTCTCTATCACATCCCTGACTTCTTAAAAACGGTGAGTCTAAAAACAGTGCGTACATTGTATATCTGCATAACTAAATAATTGCATGTTTGGGATTTAAGCTGCTTATTACTAAAATAAAAACACAAACCAAATCCAGCCAAATTTCAAACTGTGTATCCACTATAAAATGTAAATGTTGTTTACATTGGTTTTTTTCATGTGGTTAATAAGCAGCATATACTATAGTCCATCCTGTGGTTCTTGTGCTCTTTAAAAATCCTGGAAATAGCAGAAATGTTGTGATATTTCCCTTTAAGAACAGAAGTAATGTCCTTATTAAGCAGATCTCTTAATTATGTTATGTTTTATCAGCGTTTGCTTTTTAAATTTGTTGGCTTAAATTAGGATTTATGTAACAACATGAACACTAGTAGACTTTGGGTGAAAAAGTACTAAGTAACTGACACGAAAATGTCTTCATGAAAGTGCCAAATGATTTCATTCAGTTAGTTAATAGCAGTCCCAGACTTTAAGTTGGCTGGGAGATATTACCCAACTATCTTCCCCACAATATAGTAACAAGGAAATAAATTCATATAATACAAAAAGAAACTCTTTGTGGCTTGGTGTGCATAGCATATATACCGAAGGCATGACTTTCTATGCTTTATAACAGGATTTAGTGTCATATACTGTTAGTTATATCTTGGGTCTCCATCCATGTATGAACTGCATGAGTTTCTTCACTTGCAGTTTGCTTAGCTTGAAGTCTTCTGACAAAATCTCCTCAGTGAGCTGCAGAAGTAAATTCCCATCAATCTTCTCAGACACAAAAAGAGAAACGATGTCGTCTGGCAGGCCAATAAACCTTAGAGATTTGGACACCTCTTCAATAGAAAGACCAGCCAGGTTGGACGGGGGCTGCCACTGTGCAGTGGGAGAAAAGGACGGACAGTTAGGAGTTAATGAGTTAGAGATTGAACATATCTCTTTTGTGCCCTGCTCGTGTTGCATAAGTGAGCAGTTTGAAGTTTCCTGCTCACTGTCACAGATTGATCCTGGGGGTAAATCTGTGCATGTCTTTGTGGCATTTGTTTTTGGTGTTCTCGGTGGTAAGATGGGGCAAGAGAGGCTCTGCTTAGTGTTGGATTCTTCTATTGGCTTGTCTCTGTACATTTCTGAATTGAAACTTGAAGATTTGGTGCAAAACTGACTCAGAGAGGCTTTCTGCAAACTGAAGTCCTTACTGCAGTGAGCGTGCTCTCGGCCATCAAAGTCCACAAGGCTGGATGTACAGGTTTTTGGGGTGCTTGGGGATCTCTTTCTGGGGTAACTGTAGTAGCTTCGACAGCCGGCTGGCAGGAATTCATCCATGCAGTGCGATTCTCCACTGAAGTTGTTTGGCCAAGACAACCTGGACGACATCCCATCTGATGGCAGGCTACCACTGGGCAATGTAGCATTTGGCTCAGTGCTGTTGGACTTACCCCAATTACACGGGTAGCACACATGCTCTTGTGGGTCTGCCGCCTCTTGCTCACATGCTCCACTACTGGTAGAAAAATATAAGATTAATTTAGGGTATAAGAGCAAACCTCATGCAGACCTCATCAGATGATAGAAATATGTAACATTTTAAACAAAACTTGGTATTTTACAGCTACGATACTAGATCTATGAAATCTCAGGATAAATTTCAAATTGGGTCCAATTCTTACATGTTGTGGAGACCAGAAGAATAATAAGAGAGGGTTGGACTTGGAGACCGAGTCTCTTGCTGCCGTGGCTTAGACAGGATGGGCACTGACGGCATCTGTTTTAAACTTCGTGGAGGAATTGGTGGGGCATTCAAGAGACGACATTCTTCCTTCACCTGGAAGGAAATGAACTGACATTGAAACTGACAGCAAAACAAACATCCATTTTTTTCGAAGACTGTTGCATGCATGTCTGATACTCTATATTATCTACAATAGTCACGAGTATTTACATTGACAAATCATCTTTCTACATAGTAGTTTTTATTGTTGGTGCAGAGTCTGCCATTGCAGCACTGGACTCAGTTGGCCTGAGGGATTCACAGGAATGCATGAAATCCAGTGCAATCTTGGCTCATTCATTCTGTTTACTGTTACTCCTTACGACGAGCTGTAGTAACGGAACATCCTATAGCCGCAGCTTCACATTAAAAGCTTTCAACTGGTAAAACTAGGGGTGACTTTTATTGTGAATCAGCCACAGGATTTGTATTTGCCACCATGGCTGGTGCTACGGTGACCTTACATCAGATTCCAGAGTAGGGGAATAAGAGGGAACAGCCACAGTTAGCTGTTAAATGAAGAGAACTCAGCAAGGTAACCAACTTTACTCTGCCCTGCTGTGGAAAACGGCTCAATGTGTGTTGAAATACGAATCATAGAAACTATTATTGAATGACTTCTTTATTAAAACAATGCTAACTCCTTTTGGTTGCACTGTAAACTGATACTCCAGATGTTCTTGTGGTATTTCTGACAAAGCAGCTGCTCAAGGAGTGTTTGCTGTAGTATTAAACCGTACTTGCTGTTACCACAGTAACCATGGGTGTTTTCAAATCAACCAGGACTGAAATCTTAAGGATCACAACTTTAAGTCGAACAGATTATACTCACAGCTTCAGACTTGGGTGGGACCGGTGGTGGAGTAAGAGACGTATCTGAACTGGTTACTGCACCAAGAGGGCAAGTGACGGGGTAAGACGGGGCTGCTGTCGTACCACAGCCGTTGTTCATGCCTCGAATTCCCTCACTTATTGAAGGTTTCGGGATCTGACCTCTCAAGTGATCCAACCACAGCTCCTCATAGGGAACGTCCGACTTGCTGAGGGATGGTAGTTGGTTTGTGCTTTCCAACAGCTCGGGGGAAAAGTGTTCACTTTCCCCTGAGTCTGAAGGGACGCTATCAGAGGGCAGAAGAGCCCAATCCCCACATAGCGTCATACAGCCCTGTAAATTGACCTCACTGTTACCGTGCAGGTTGCTGCCATACACACACACAGATAGTCGGTGGAAGGACTGGGTGAGTTCATCACGGGCGTAAGTTAAAGAGCTGGGAATCTGCATGTGGTTGGGACACCCGTTGGAGCTGCTGCTGCTGCCACCACTGCCTCCGCTGCAACTACCATTCCCACTGCTTTTCTTCGGACTCTTACCATCATCGTTCCAGTCTGTCCGCACATCCCTGACAGCACGAGAATAGTCATCTATGTCAAACTGCTCCTGGCAGAAGGAGAACCAGCGATGTACCATGGTATCCAGCCACAACTCTCCTTGCACCAGTTCCTCTGGAATAATAAATCTCGGCATGGCCATGTGAAAGGGAAAATGGATGGGTATAATTTTGTTGCTCCGCAGAATGCAGCACATGACCACTGTTTTCGTTTGAATGTTGACCAATTTGTAGCGATGACCCTCGCGGATGAGGTGGAGGTCGTGCTGGTTGCGGGGTGGACTGCTGGGTACTGTGACATTGACGGGGAGACGGGTTTTCTCCACAATGTTCCTGATGGTGTGTTCACCGTCCTGCATCTGAAGCTCCAGTGGACTACAGGTGCTGAACCTCCCTTTGCACTGGAAAGGCAGGCTGATGCTCTCATTGGTGCGATGGTTCATGCAGATCAAGCAAGGCATCTTGCCTCGACCGATCTTACTGATGGAGTTCAGCTTCCCAATCTTCTTGAAAATGGTGTTGAACCTTGATTTTTCTTTGGAGGTCTTGGCGTACAGGATTTCAGCCTGGCCCATTAACGTCAGTTCATCACCGGTGCTTAGTGTAATGTTGTAAACTTCAGTGTCCTCATTGCATTCCCCTGAAGCCATCTGTAAAAACACATGACACATGGGAAAGTACTGATGACATTAGGGAGAGCATTTACACCTTGTGATTTAGATATTTAAATCAATAAACAATAGGTTAGCGCATTAACAGTTTCTTTCTGTATAGACTGTGTCACTGGTTTATACAAGGAACTGTTGCATCACAACTTTTCTGTTGTTGTCAGTGAAAAAAATATAGTTTTGAATCCCTAAACATTACTTATCGATGTAATTATAGTGTCATACTGGTTAGGTCTGAGAAGAAGAGCAAAAAGAAAATTGATCCCAACAATTACCTTGCAATAATTGCACATGTACAGCTAGTTATACACTGTTTAAAATATTTTTGCACACCATATTCCCTTCTGCATACTGCATATAGTGTATATATTGTCTTTATATTTTCAATTATATCTTTATAATATTTTTATTTTATTACTTTTTGCACATTTCCCCTGTGCTGCTGTGTCAAACCTGAATTTCTCTGACAGGGGATCAATAAAGGAATATCCTATCTTTATCTTAACACAGATTGTGTAGTTTTTAAAACTTCTTTACGGAGCTGAATCTTCTAAAAATATACCAAATTCACTTAAATATGTCTGCCCTATGAGTCTTATTAGGAGGATTTCTAGTCTTAACAGGAAATCTTAATTTATCCAATACCCCTGATGTCAGAGTTGGACGTCAGAGTTCTTGAGTAAATAACATCATATTGATAGTCCAAAAATAGACAACATAACACAAAACACAACATAATACCCAACCAATCCTACTAATTCCTTCAGCATATTAGATGTACCTTAACATTGAATGTAATTTCTTCCATGACGTAAACCCTTTCAGGGAATGCTTTGGCCACCTCCTCCACGCTGTTGAAGTACTGCACAGGCTCCTTGACATCTCTGTCCTGCTCCAGGAGCTTAAACTGACCTAAGATAGGAAAATACATACAGTGTCAATGCAAATGACAGGGTTAAGCATGGGTTGTACTTTTCTGTTCAAGTATCAATAAAACTAGGTTTGAGATAAGTGTAGACATTGTTCCTACAATCTTTTAACATTAATACACCAAAACACCTCTCAAAATGTCTTATGTATATTTTTATGGTTGCAGCACAGATTCTGATCATCATTCAGGAAGCCCCCAAATTCAAAGTTGTCAGCTGAAGCGGCTGACTTTTTTGGTTTTGACATATACAGAGATGCATCATCACAAGACAATGTCAAGCAAATCCAGAATCAAGCATCCTGCAGATGGTAGCTCACCTTCATAGTGCACTGGGATCTCTATTTTGGGCCCAATGACATAGTGTCCCTCCTCCAGACTGTGAGCAGTAATAGTCGTCCACTGACGGCAGGAATGAATCAAGAGGTAGTCATTGTCTCTGAGCCCTTCAACCAACTGACCTGCAGGAATGAAAACAACAAACAAAACACTGATTAGACCTTACAATCCAGGTAACATAATACTGCAAGGTGCAATAGACAAATAAAATATAACATCAACACATAAAACGTTAAGTCACTGTTGCATCATGGTGGAAAAATATAAGATTAATTTAAGGTATAAGAGCAAACATCATGCAGCCCTCATCATATGATATAAATATGTAACACTTGAGCCAAAAATTCCAAAAGATTAAAGTGGATTTTGAGGGGCAGTTGAACAGAAGAGGAAAAAACACCATACGAGGTCTATGAAATGTAGGTATAAATTTGAAATGATTGCATCATGACACTTGCAAAACAACAATTGGAGTTGTGACACATTTATTGTATTAATTGCCCTGATTAGACGCACAGTGGTGTCTACAATGTGGGTCATCATGGCAGCATTTAAATGAATTCATAATGCCCATGGCTGAGACATATTTTCAATGACTATACCAAACAATAAAGTAAGTATCCTGAGGAATGCTTTTATTACGGTTTTCTTTTTCATACCACCAGTGAGCTTCACAGGCTGTAGCCAAGGCACTGGATTAGTCAACACACTGCGATCACTATCCTCCATGGAGAATGACTAATGCCCTAATCCATACCTCTCTAAAAAGCAAGCACTGACATTTAAAAATAACAATGCACAACCACAACTCTGCAGGAGAGGCTTAGCAGAGTGTAATACACAAGGGGAAGATTGAAACACACAATTATAATTATTGCTGGTATTTCATAATGGTTTAATTTCTAATTGTAACCATGATTATTATCAACATGCTTGTGTTGTTGCCAGGGGGAAACATCTGTAGTAGAGTAAATAAATCAAATAAATTCCCTGATTCAATAACACTGCTAAATGTAGTTTTGTTCTAGGTTCATTATTTACCTTTACTGTGTTATCTTGTATTGTTTTGTCTTTCATTGTACCCACGTTGAGGCCAAAGATGTTTTTTCAGCCTTGACTTTACAATAAACTTGACTCATCCTGCCACAATCGTCCCTTGTGCCCTTTATAATGCTGTGCACACACACTTTCCAGCAACAGTCTTCTGATGCCTGTATATGTTGTCCTCCAAATGATATACTATTATGACAATAGTTGTTTTTTTACTTTACTAACTTCACTCAGATGTCTGGAGAGTGACAGCAGAGACATTACAGGGCATTAATGGACGAGATTTGCACGACAGAAAGAATGCAACTCCCACCATTGCCACCAAAATACCAACTTTTTAATGTTAACGAGACAATTTTGCTGAAAATGAATGAGATCAGATGAAAAATCAACAACAATGTGTCTTTCAAACGGATTAGCTGCTAACTAGCAATTTAGCAACTAACGTCAGCAAAAGAAAACTTAACCTAGCCAGCGTTAGCAGTGACAGAAAGTTACTAACCGTTATCCAGCTTGACAATCTGAGGCATCCTATAAGCACTGACGAGTTGATCTAATGGTAAAGACGTCGTGCTCCATGTAACATCCTTCAGATTATTGTACAACATTGTTCCAAGGTCCATTTTGCTAGCTTACATTAGCCCACTGGAGGGCTAGCAGTGTGTAAACACGGTCACAAAAGGGCTACACTAAAGCTAACCAACTAAATAATACATCAGCTCGCCATCTACAGCTTCATATTTGGCACATTTCTTATTAATCGCCGCATAAGCCTACGTATCATGAAGGTCCGTTGTCTGGTAATGTATCAGAGCCATGTTTGTTTAGCTAGCGACGGCTGCATCAAGGCAAAGTAAACTAGACGAGTGACGGAAATACGTAATTACTTTGTTCTTTCGAAATAAGAGCAGGATTTAGTTTGGGGTACACAACACAGTGAGCGGGGTTGGACGCGAAAAGCTCATCAGACTCACTTGGTGAAATCGTTCGGTGTCTTTAGAGTATAAAGTAAAACTGTGTGTGCTAGAGTGCATAGTATGTGCTAATGGTTTCATTGGTTGTTCACCAACGATGTATTTTTAAAAGTAGTGAGCGGAAGTTGTAGTTTAGCAGTGTAAAGCGTGGCACTGATAGTGATAACTGCTGATAAGATAAGGCACAATAAAGACGGCCTGTTCCACTAAAACTTCACCTGGTGCTCCAGATATAAGGCTTGTCAAAAAAGTGTATTTCATATGAAACTGTTAAAAACAGACTGATCATGTCCCTCTCAGGAAATAATGAATGCATTTACGATTATTAATTTCAAAGGGGGAAAGTGAAATTGATGCCAGATAATCACATGGGGGTGGGAAGCAACAACCATTGGGTCTTACAACCTGGTGGTGGTACAGATATAAATGTACCAACAATGACACAGTCATCACACTTCCTGATCTCCCTGGTACAAATCAGAAGAGCTTCCTTAATTTGGTCTGTAGCTCAGGGTACTCCTAACCTGCCACTATGTCTTTTCTGGATACTCTGCGCCAGTGGGACGAAGCTGTGACTTGTGTTGACAGACAAGATCTGTCTGAAGCACTCAGGATTTTCCTGTCAATCCAAGAACCAAACTCCAAAATCTGTTTTGACATGGGCTGTCTCCATCTTCTTAACCAAGACCTAGATGCTGCTGAAAAGGTATGGCTAAACTGAATTAGTAAAATGCAAACTAAAACATTGTACACAAATATCCATGGTATTTTGTAATCTTACTCATCAAAAAGTAAAACCTTGTTTAAAGCTGATAACTGAGATGAAATGCTGTGATATTTTGGATTCTGAAAGTGCAAGTCACTGTGAAAGAAGAAGTAGAGTTTACAGTTTCTCGTTTCTTCTAGAGGAAGTTACTGTGTTTTCTAATGTTTCTCAGGCATTTGATTGCAGCATACGCAAGGATGAGCATTTGGCTGTTGGCTTCTTTCAAAGAGGAATCACATTTTACAAAAAGCAGAGGCAAGACACACCTAAAAGGGCCACATTCATATCTAACATTGTGATTTAAAAACACTGTTTGCTAGACACACTTAGCTTTTATTCTAATAAAAATTGCCTCCTAATCACTTCTAATATTTTTACAATTTGCACAGTTTATAACATTTATTGCAATAATTAACTGGATTATTTGTATTCAAAGGTATGAGGAGAGTGTAGCTGATTTCCAGCGTGCCTTCAAAACACTGAGAGGCAACCAGCTGATAGATTACAAAGCACTGGGTCTCAGATACAAATTATATGCATGTGAGGTAAATATTTAAACACCTTTTTTTTGTAATGCCTCCTTATTATGTAATTTATTTACAAATTATTATACTACTTATATACTACTGTTCTTCTATATCCTGTCGACTACAGTTTAGAGATGTAGAGTATATTAATTATGAAAACACTCTTTCTAATCTGCTCTAATGATTCATTTGATGTTAAAAAACCAATCAATTAAAAAGAACTGTTTGTTTTTATTTGTTGCTGTTGGTGAGTTAAGTACAATTTGACATATTTTCACTTCTTTCTAATTGAAAGAATTGTTTTCAATGATTACGTCTGTATGAGGGATTAAAATAGTGACATGCTTCTAATCAATGTTTCCTGCCACAGGTTCTCCACAATATGGCCCTGGCTGAGGCTCAGATGGGTCACTGGGAAAAAGCCCAGGAAAACCTTGTGAAGGCTCTTGATTACAAGACAGATGCCAAGCTCAATATCATTGACAAAGCTCTGCAATCCACCCTGGTCTGTTAACATGTAGTCACCATTATTTAAAAAATCAGCCAGTGCATTTGAAACATATATATCTATCTGTTTTACATTGGTATTGATCAAAATTCTGTTAGCAATATTAGCAAATGATTTAGAATTTTATTTCCTGTCAGAAATGCTTGATAAATATTATCTTTGCAATTCAATTTCACCAACAGAAACAGAAACTTTTCAAACTGGTCGAGTTTCCATCAAAAGTGCTCTTTAAACCAAATAAGCACTATGTTGCTGAGCTGGAGAAGAAGGACTACCTGGGCAAAGCGAAGGTAATACTATCTGATGACCCACCTTTGTTTTAGTGACAGTTTGTACGACATTATTCATTAGTGTGATATGAACCGCATTAAACTGAATCCTGAGTAAAGCTCAGTAAAATGTCAGCCAATCACTTAATCAGTGATTCATCTTTATACAGCACTTGCTTTTCATACATAATACATTTGAGGTTACGCTGGAGAAAACACTGTAATTATTTTACATAATTAACTTACATTTCTTCTCTGTTATCTTCAGGTTGTTGCCTCCGTCGTTCCTCAGGATGCATTCTCTGGATTTGCCCCATTACAGCCACAGGTGACATATCGGCTCTTCTTTGGCAATAAAAAACAATACAATCAGATGACAAAAAAATCAATGTGTCATTATTAGCTTATGTTACATTAGATCAAATATATATGGAAGATTTTTAAAAATTAAAGAGGCATTCAATTATCCACAATCAACCTGTATTGGTAACGATGTATCATTTGATGTGTGTCACAAGCTTCATAATTAATGACTAAAGCTTTTGATGTAATACATCACTTTACTATGTCAAAACCTGAATTCTTAATTATAAGATGATTGCTGCAATGCTGCAAATACATCTGAAAGCGTTTTCAACACTACACTGCTTTGTGTTTTTGTCTGGCAGGTTGAAGATGGTCCAACTCGTCCAAAAGAACCTGAGGTTCTAAGGTAAATGTTGTAGAAACCTGATTTTCTCTAAACACACATTATATCTCGTTACATTGTCAAAGTATTATTTGTTACCTAATACTTGGTAAGATTTTGTGATAATGATGGCTTTCCCTCTGTCTGTGGACAAAGTCCAAAAAGGAAAAATCTGTGTTGAATCGCTGTGTTAATGTAAACAAGAGAACAGCAGGATAGAAGTGTACAATTACACAGTGCCAGCAGGTCTCTTGATGCCACGTGGATGTCTCATGTCTTCACAGGGCTTTAGAAGGAGAACCACACACTGTCCTGTTTGAGTTTGTTCCTGAGACCAGTGATGAGTTGGCTGTAGTGCCGGGCAATATTGTGTTTGTGCTGCAGAAGGGTGCTGACAACTGGGCATCTGTGATCTTCAATGAAAGAGTAAGAGCACTATGTGCAGAGTCTGTACATCTGTGACCTCTATACCAGTGTGCATCTCTCAAGACCTGCAGCTGACATAGAAAGCATTATTCATGTTAAGAGAATTCATATCATGTTACTGTCAACTGAGAGTATTCGTTATTGTCATATAAATCATAGCGGGGACTTGTTCCTTACAATTACCTGGAACGTTTGGAGATCTCTTTGGCTTCTAAACAGAATGAGGTAAAGAACTAACTTTATTTCTTATTTTCTAAGTATACTTAAAGTTAATAAAATGAAACTTGATAAAATGAGGTATTTGTTTTGTAATACGTTCCCTTATTTTTTCTGTATTCTAAATGGCATTATTTGGCTGTATTAACCAGGGAATATCTAAGCCTCCAACTCGAGAACCACCAACCAGACCTGAAAGGAAACAAGGTAAACTTATCTGAAACACTTCAAGCTAATTAAAATAACGACAGGCACCGTTCTCTGATTGGTGTTGAATACCATTGCATTTGACCAACTTTACCCATGTCATAAGAAATGCTGTAACACAAGTCAAAGTATTTGCAAATACAATTTGACCAATATAACTTAACCTTTTATATGTATTTAAGGTCTTACTCCTAGCAACAGCAGCAGTGGAGACACACAAGTCAAGGTATGCAGAGTAAAATGTCTCCAGTACTACTCATGAATATGATAAACCTCTTAACAAAAAGGACCTGTCAACATGTGAAGTATTTATGGATTTTCTTTTGATTTAATTCCACCAATGTGTTCTTTCATTAATGCCAGGATGCACACGACAATTCATATATTGTCAAAGTCCGATTCACATTCAACTTTGCTGTCTCAGTACCACCTGGGTCTCCTTATGCAATACTGATCGAGAAAATCAGTAAGAAACTGAATCTCCCTTCTAGGGCAATCACCTTGAGGTACGCTGCACATAAAAAATATCCAGTTTATATTGGTATATTGTGTTACTGACAGAGCACCAAATTCAACCCTTTTGTTTGATTTAGTTTAACCTCTGAGGTAACGGGAGAAAGTGTAATCAATGCCAACACAGAAATGGAGAGTGTGTGGAGTTGTGCCAGTGCCAGGCGTATCACCTTGTGGTGTAAGACCAAAGAGGTAAGTGGATCTGTTGCTGTGTAATGTGGCCTCACAAAATAGTTATAATGGGTGATACTGCAGTTTCATAATACAGGTATTGGGATGACACCAATATTTATGTGTGTGTGTATATGGAACCTGCTTATTTTAGGATCTTCCTGATCAATGGTATTATAGGATTTCCCTAAGAATTTTATTTTCAGGGTTCTCTGCACATCTTGCAGCAATATGCAGCTGAATCAGTTGCTTCTCAGTACAAAGATAGTAATCTTCCACAGAAAAAAGGACTGGAGCAGACTGATTGATTTTCAGTCTTTAATTATACAAACAGACTAACATTTCGACACTTCAGTGTCTTCATCAAACAGTCATACAGATGTGTTTCATGATGATCCTTGATCATGGTGGCCCTGCAGTCGAGCGTAGCAACTGTAGTACACCACTACACAACAGACAGATGATTTCAAGGACACTCAAAGGAGTTGAGCAGAAAATGATTGTGTGCGTTTTGTGTTTTTAGCAAACTGATGGAAAGCCAGCGGATGAGATTCACTTCGTGGCACTTCATTCTTATGAGTCATCAAATCCAGAGGATCTCAATTTTCAGCAAGGAGATACAATCAGATTCCTCTCTAGAGGTGAGAAACTCTTATTTTAGTCATATAGTGTATCACAAATATTTAAATTATTGTGATTTGTCCAGGAAATATGATTCTAATTCATAATTTCTTCTTCTTTAGTTAACCAGGATTGGTTGGAGGGGCAATGCAATGGGAATACTGGTATATTTCCTGCATCCTTTGTGGAAGAAGTTCCTGTCAATGACCAGTAAAAGAAAAGATACTAAAGCCAGTAATACAATGAAGTGACCAAAGCAGAGAAGTGGTCAGGTATCCACTACCTAAACCATTTTATAATCAATTAAATGTGAATAATCAGGGCCCATATATTCTTTACCAATATGATTGTAAAAGTGGACAAGTTGTAATGTTTGGACAAAATGATTGGTAATATTCTGTGATTTTAGCAAATACAAGCAATATACTTTTAATACCTGTAACTGAAGGCAGACATGATAAAATACTCTATTGGAGTCCTGTGAATTACTGGTAAATTATCATGAAGACGTTCCTTCCTCTTCATAGGCAATAGCTATGCCTCTCCTGCCCTTTCCTGCCTTTACCACAGGCGTCTCTCCCAACTTCTGCTCTAAGCCACGCCAGCTTCGTTCTGCCAGGAAAGATGCTGAAAAGAGAAAAGCATAAATGTGTAGTGTAATACAAAGTTTTTTTTTTTTGCCAGACTGTAACAACTGAAGTAGGTCTTTGTTGTTATGAGAAAAATGCAAAATTCTACAATAAACGTATGGATGTTTGGAAATGAAAAGCAAACAGTGTCTTATATTTAACCTACCAGCTGAGTTAGCTACAGTCAGCGTCTGATTCCTGAGGACCACAGAAGAGCCACATGAGGACTCTGCCGGCTCACTGATCAACAGATTCTGGCTTCTCAGAGCTCCTGTTATTAAAGACACGTCGGTGTCATCGTCCTCCTGCTGCTGATCAGCCAAAGGCACATGACTCTGTCCACCTGGTGCGAGTTTGAGATAAAAAGGAAAAAATCAAACATAGCAATAGCCATGGATATTAGCCAATAGCCATAGCCTTTGGACCCTGCCCATAACATCTCTAAATGTTGTCCCAGGTTGGTAAAAATCTCTTCACTACAAGTGGTTAAAAAAGGAAAAACATGACTAAGATGGTAATCTACTAAAACATTTAAAATGTATGTAGCCATATTAGGAGAGACTAGACATTTGCAAATCTATGACAAACACAACCCAGCCATCTCTAAGGACTACATTATTATTTAGGAAAACATGACACATAACTTTTTGGTAAATAGACCATATTTATGATATAAAGAGCCACATGTATTTAGTGTTTCTCAAAACGGATATATTGGTCCTATAAGCTAGTTGACTGATGGGAAGAAAAAAGCTCTGAAACACATAACCTTGGGCAGACAAAAGCTATCATTTGCGACTATTTGTTCCTTTTTTAATGAATCCTGGCTGAAAAATACATTTGGGATGGAATAAAAATGAGTATTTTCCCCCTTCAAAAACTTTCCCACCTTTAGTTTTCATATAAGCCATTAACATAAAAAAAAGTTGAGAAGAGTTGATTTATAAATTTCGGATGTGAATACATTTTTAATCTAACCTGGAAGGAGATGTCGAAAGTCTGTGACATATTCCTCTGACCACTCCCTCTTCTTGTTGCAGGCCACCTCCATCTCAAACGGCGTTACCACGGGTTTATAGAACTCACTTGAGTCCAGCAGCGAGTTCTCGGGACACGCAATTAACACAAAAATGTCAATTTCAAGAAAGTTTGCTAGTTTGGGCACGTTCAGTTTCCCCATGGCGAACATATAGCTCTTCTTTCCAGCTCTGCGGATGGTCTCCTTCAACTGCTGGATGATGGTGAGGTAGTCAGCCATCCCGAGCGTGCCGACCAGGATGCCAACCACATTGGCATCTTTGGCCCTTTCTATGGCATAATATCGCTTCATCAGTGCACGGTTGATACTCACTGACTCAGTTCTCCCAATCATTGTTATGGGGTCAAAAGAACAAAACGAGCAGCGATTCCAAGTCATCATGAAGTTTCTCAGGGTTGCTCCCTCTTGGCCTACGTAGAACATACTGTAATCCATGATGCTTGAACCGCTTTTCAATGCGAACTGCCTCCCAAACTGACAGATAACCTGGTTTTTGTCTTGCTCTGACAGACAGGTGTCATCATGTTGTCTTTTAATCCAGCCATGACTGTAACACTGCTCCCCCTCGACAACAAGTTCTGAGATGACGAGGTTAGGATACTCTGGCGAAAGGAGTGTCAGAAGATCATCTGAAAAAAATAAAACATGTTGTATTCAGTCACTGACAGGAAATCAATAACAAACCTTTACTTTTTATTTTAATATAATCGCATGAATATATAAAGGCCTATTCCTTTCTTTGTAGAATATCTTACTCATGGCGTGAACGTAGCTGACATCATAGAGGAGGATGATGTGACTCTGCGTGTCAGGGTAGAGTTCTCTGAAGGCAGAAGCGCACTTCTCAAGATCCACCGGCCTTCTCTCAAAGACGTACATCAGGGGCAGCCTTTTAGACGGGCTGAGGCAAGCGCTGCCATAGTGCACAATGCAGTCGGCTCCGACATGCTCTGCAGCTACCTCATCCACACAGCAACTGCTCCAAGGAAATCATACAAGAATGATGAATGTAGACAAACATTACAACTCCATGGCTGTCCATTAAAGAGGCATCACACATCCTGTTTTGTAGTAGCCTTGAAAAAAATCAAAAATATATGCTTAAACATAAAAAAGTTGGTCATTTTCAAGTTCAACAAGCCACAGTACTTACACATATTATCACACATGCTGATGACAAATAAATCAACAAAATAAAATAAATGAAACTGCCAAACGATGTCCAAACCACTGTTATAAAACCTATTCTAAATTTAAAATATCACATCCTGGATCTAAATGTGAACATGTAAAGCATGAAAGAGGCTGTAAAATGTGTCCGTCAGATACATCCATAAAGGTACCACTGGACCACTGACAGTATATATCACTGGACGCTGCTTCTTCCCCTCACATTGTATGAAGAATGCAAGCACTAAACATTATTCATGTAGCATGTGTGCATTATTAAACCAAGTAAGACTTTTCTGAGTTAAACGTGGCGTGTTACCTTCCATAGGATGTGTCTCCCAGAATATATGTCTTGGCATTACAGTTTCTCTCAATCGCCACTGCTACTGCCACTGAATCCACCAGCAGCTCATCAGGAAACTGCAGAGCAACCTGTGAACATTTCAGACAAATACACTTCTCAAACATCAATCTGACATTCCTGCATCTAACTTTACTGAACAGCTAACCAAAGAGCTCTTGAACAAGAACTGTGTTGTTCTTCCGTCCTCCTGTGTACCAATGGACTGATATGTTCAAAGACTAACAGTAAAAATAATGTGCTCCTCACCTTTTCAAAATGACGCTCACTGATGAAGTCGCAGGTGCTCTTAATCTGATACAACTCTTCCAGTTTGTCCAGAGGGGTGTTTGTCTTCACTGATACTTCCACCACACGCTGAATTACCGTTTCCGAGCTGCTGCTGAATGCATCAGCCATGGCTGCATAGGAAACACTCAACAGTGCCTGAAACAAACACCATAAACTATATTTATTCAGCACATCAGCTGGTGACAGGTAAGCACCCAGGCTGATGGAAATATAACATCTGACATCCCTAAAGAGTTAAAATACCACTGACTGAACTAACGTGAAGTATTTTTATCAACCAACTCAGACAACAGGGAATAGTGTCACATTCATGACTGTCTGAAGCGACAATATGTAGTGAAGCCAATCACTTGATTACATTGGAGGTTAAAAGTTGTGGTATTTTATTACGAGATATTATCACACATGGTTTCAACATGTACCACCATGGTTACGTCTCCTAGCTTAGCCGCTAGCTGATTTGACTCCAGAGGTTTAGAAACCTGAGTCATTGTTACAGAATACCATTTACAGCTTATATCGTTTTATTCTTGCATTGGCACAAACAGGTAAACTTACGGTTCAGTGTCATGGGACAAGTTGTTGGCGGATAATCGCTCCTCTGACAGTTACACACGTGTAAGCGGTACAGCACACTTTAGTACAGTACCGCTGACCACTACTCTTCTTCTTTGGGTTTAATTGAGGTTGGCAAACCAGCTTATCGGTGCATTACCGCCACCTACTGGAGTGTGGAGCAGTAGGGTAGCAGGAAAACTAAATTTAACAGGATAAAACAAAAGACTAAATTATTTCTATTACTCCTGTCACTCTTACGTAATTAATTAAAGGATGAATTTGAATTTTTCATGATGTCAGATTCTTCAGCGTAATATTGTGTTACTAGGACAAACACTTCAAAGGTTTTTCAAAATAAAAGCCGCTTGAGGGACGTGCCTTGGGGGCTGTTCCTGGCATTATTTACCCCAAGACAACTCATATTTTTCCTCTACTCCCCCATGACATCATCAAAAACTAACTCACATTTCCAGATCACTGAGTTGTGATGCACATATAAGTCACATGTTGTAATTATCAATGTATTTCGCAACCCTGGATATACTGTAAATCAACAATTAAGTTAAGCATATTGACATGACCATGACCAGTTCCCAACAACAATACCATCAAATATAGCCCTGCACAAAATCATCCATACCAAGGGACACTTCATTTGTTTCGCACAAAGTTTACATTGGTGCGCAATTAAATTTATTAAAATAACATCAGTGATTCAATCCTGTTAAAACATTTGGGAAACAACAAAGCAGAACGATAGATACAAGTTACATCTGTGATAATATAGTGGCATCACACTGACCCCCCTTTGATCTTCTCTCCAGTATCTGCCGCTTCAAATATACACATACAAAATAAATACATTTTTATATTGAGTGTTTCTTTAGGGGACAGTAAATTCCCATCTGAATAAAACTGGACTGTCCAAAACATTTAATAAGTACATTTATTAGCTATATTTGTGGCAGCTAGAAAATAACGATAGCAGCTAAAAAATGATTGGCATCAGTCCTGAGAGGGTTACATCATTTAACAGTCAAAATGTCTTTCTTTATAAAAACAATAAATGCAAAGTTTCCAACATTAAAGATGTTTGGTCTTTGACTGTTGTTAGATTCAGAGGATGTTCAAAGTGCTACCAGGTGTTACCAGGGGTTATATGAACATCATAATCATAGCCCTGCTTACATCCAAATACGATAGAAACCCAAGACCACAGTGAGACAGGTGAACACTGACCCTAAAAGAGAAAAGATCAGAGGAGGTCAGTCACTGGCTTCAGACAGACTTTAATTTACTTCATTTGTATTCTGCCAACTGTTAAACAACTACTTTTGAACAGCAGAAAATCTAATTTTCCCACAATTAAAGTTTAAACTAACTCAAAATTAGCATTTTAAAGTTTTAAGTGAATGATGCTTTAATTTTCACATTGCACCAGTTGTACCACTATGAATAAGATGTAATAATAATAATATGAGTATAACTAATATATCTAATGTATCTAACATGTATGATGGGAACCATGTTGCCTTGTTCCTTTGTGGCTCCTGTGAGGGTTACACATCCTCTTAAAAACTGTTTCTTCCCAACTAAAATAAAGACTCTGAACAACTGACATTACAAAGTATATATTTGAATTCTCAAGGCAATTAATTCTACATAACAACAACGCACAAGTGTGCATGTCCTACCTGCAAGGTATTTTATAGTATCCAGCTTATGAGACTCTAACATGGTTTTCAAACCAGCCACTTCAGTGTCTATCTTCATGTTGGTCTGAGTTAAATAACGATCATGTTCTGCAGTCTGTAAAAAAGGCAATTAGACAAAGGCATTAAAGCCTTATCAAAGACCCACCACATATTTATAACAGAGTGCAAAATCTTTTATGGCCAGTAATCAGTGAGAGTCATTAATAGAAATTTACCACTGGTGCCTTTTTTATGCTTCTTTTTGTACTTTAATAAAGCAACAATGAATGTAAGGAATAGTGTGCTGTGTTTTGCAGTATAAGGTATAAGCATGTTCATCTAAAAGAACACAACTGTATCTACTGTATCATTGTCAGTCCTGTGATTGTTGCTGCCATTTTATATTTAGTCATTAGATGTAGATTATTATGAAGTAAATAATAGATGTGGTGAGATAGGAAACACGTACTGTAGATGTATTGCATATATACAAACCATTTCCATGATGTCGTTTCGTGTTTCTAGAAGCTTCTTCTCATGCTCTGCTTTCTGAAAATGATAAATAATGTTTTCTTTAGAAAAGAAATACAAGGCATGACCTGTCAGGTTCACGATTTATGCAGTATACCCCAATAGCTTTCTAATGACAGTAGAAAACCTTTATTTAGTCTGCGTCTCTCTGTCCGACCTGTCAATAAAAACATCACTGATCTGCTTGGGAAGAATTTGGGACTAGGATTCCATCATTCCTCCTTCCCTGAAACATAATGTTTCAACAATTAAGTCATCTGTAATTTTAAGCAAATCTAAGTCAAGAAGAAAAAAAGACTAAATTGAAAGTGCAGTCGACAGATCTCCAAGCACTAATCTAGTTTACTCAAACACTTACCAATTCTTTTACCCGGCTTTTTTCCAAATTCAAGTCCAAAATATTGTCTGAGCGCACTTTATTCATGATATCCTGCAAAGGAAATACAGAAGTCACAACAAAACTCCCAGTTAATACAAAAACAAATGCAATATCAATTTTACCATAAAACTTGGACATAAACTGATTTGCATAAATCAGAATAACCACTTACAGCCAGTTGGACCTTGAGCTGCAACAACTGGATCTTGAGTTTCTGGGAGAAATGTTAAAATATTTAAAATCTTCAGTCATATGAATCAAAAACAGAACAACATGGAGGTGAATTCAGAGACTACTGAGGTCGCAATTGTCATTTGGGGAACAGCGTGTAGATAAACACACTAACCTCATTCTCTGCCAGTAAAGTGGAGAACTCGCTCTTCTCAAGGATGATCATGTCCTTCTTTACAGATGCTATTTGAGACATCACACGCTGCAACATGATCTCCTGCCAGAATCACACAATTAATACAAACGTTAAAAAGAAGAACTCATCTGGACACAAAAAAGGCTAAAGAAACAAAGAGTTTTAGAGTCTCACCTGCTGCACTTTGGTAACCATGTCACTATAGATGACCTCCATGTTAGAGTTTGTCATTCTCACCAGTATTTTAACCAACACCTCAGCTTGCTGAGTACTGAAGCCTGTTAACGGAAAACATTATTAACATTAATTCAATAAAATCAACAGCTTCTTATTAACAAAGAAGTAAAGTAATATTTTTAAATTTCTTTTGAAGTAACAAAAGAAGGCAAACCATTATCCTCAAAGAGTCGTACCACCGCATGTGTATCAAAAAACAGCTTCCCGCCCTCAGACCTGGGTCCACCTGGTTTCAGATCATACTGGAAGGCTTTCATGGAGGTACTCAGCCCTAAAATCAATAAAAAGATGGAAGTGATTATCCACAAAATTAAACATTACTTGGAACTGTAGAGCTGTTATTTTCCCCTTCCTTTCTTTTTTTGCAATATTGCATATATTAATACTAATCATTCTTCTGTATATATGTAACTTCTGTCTTCAGGTTTTTGTTAAGAGACAGAATTTAATGTAAATGGTACATTCTCTACATATGCTTATACAATAATATATTTGTAAAGTTACGCCTTATATATGCACGCATTAATAACAACCCCAAGTAAAAATGTTAATATAATGTATATTGTATTAAGTGTAAACATTTTACAGTATCATGAGACATTTTCTCACATGCTTCTTACTGTTACAGATTTTACACTGTACTCAAATACTTTACTCTTTCAAACCGTACATATTGCATTGAGCTATGATCAGACATTTACTTAAAATGAGCAATTTCCTTTGATATTTTGGATATTCATAAACACTTATATATGAGTTGATTGCAGATACAGTAAGAGTCTCAGTCATTGACCTTTGTCAGGCATATTACAGGAATTCATTTACTCCTATATTATGCTATTCTATTGTTTCCAACATAAAGTCACTTATTTACTTACAATCCCAACATAATCAATGACTTTGACTTGTCTTAGTAAAGTTCCTGAGCAATTCAAAGGAGAAAAACTGTCTGGGGAACTAATCACAATATCAAAATGATGTTCATTTCAGCAATAACACCCATCCTATATAGCTAGTTAACTTTAAAAAACATCCATATTCAAAAACACAACAATAAAACTGAGACACTCCTGGAAAAATAGGCGTATTATGTAAATACATTGTGGGATGCGGGCAAAGGTTTCTATTGCAAACACTTCTCATCAGGGACTGGGTTTATAAACACTGAACAGAGGGTTACAGAGAGCTAGGAATGCAGAGGGTAGTAGTTAATGCAATCACTGCATACTGGTGCTTTTATTTTGATATTCGACAGGTGACAGGTGACAGTCTACATTTTATCCTAACTATAGACTGGAACTTAAAAGTATCGGTGGGGGATTTTAAAGGACAGCTTTCAATGCACATACTAGGTCTATTATAGTTCATAAACGGGTTTAAAACAGAGTTATTTAACTTTAGGTTATTAGTTAAGAGATAATAAGACGTTACCTCTGGCGGATATGTGTGTCACTACAGGAAGGTGGACGAGCTTCAGTCCATGAGGTTTTGTCCTGCTGTTAAAAGGTGCAGGGATGATACAGCGGACTCTCGGGGATGTGTCTGCTGTCAAACCCGGCGAGGTCAGTGGGGTAATGGTCGGCGCAGAGCTGCTAACTTTGTCTTGGTTAAAAGAAAGGTCATACCACTTTTCAGGGTGGTTCACACCAAACAGTTTAAATCGCGAATGACACCGTTTAAGCGCCATTGTTCAGGCTTTGTGTTCCGCCAGCTACCAGGCTGTACTTCCCTCTTTGGATATCCTGAGAATGCCTCTATCGTTGATGCATCGACACTTTTCGCCTAATCTTTACCGCCCCAACATCAAGAGCCAGAGACTGAAACCTGAAACCTAAGACTTCCGGTCGCACACTTCAAAATAAAGTTTATTGTACCGGGATGGCAACAGAAATCACGCTGACTGTCAGACCTCTATATATACTGTCAAACTCTTGCCACATAAAACAAATGGAAATATTTTTTGCTGGATAAGAGGTGTTATGCATTTAAAGCTGCAGTAGGTAACTTATAAAAATAGGAAATATATGAAGACACATTGGGTTGGTGGCTGGAAGATAGCTGATTGTTGAGTCTCATTCCCAGTATTGGTATTTGACAACCTGGGAATGAGACTCAACTATCTTTCCTGACTCTGATTGTTTTCATTCATTCAGCATTTTTGCAAATGCCGTTTGGAGCACCAGGAGGAGCCAGAGGAACCTGATTATCTGTCTCGTGTACTGCTGTCAGGATATAGTGAAGGTTTAGTTAACAGAATTAAGTTATGCCTTGGTCTATTCTGCTATAATCACTGAGCCACTCTTCAACACAAAATACAGTAACATTGCAAGTTTTCCTGTATTCACAAGTCAGAGAGACCGGCTCCTCTGGCTGCATTTAACCCTCTCGTTGACTGTTGACCATGGTAATACAGTACCTCACAAGCCATGTAAGCCTTACAGACTTTTTTATTTTAGACTGTATTTAGCTGTTTGAAAGTTACACAACAACAGAGGAATGGGTACATTTGTACATTTCCTGTTGCTTTGCATACAAGGATTTAGTGCTTTAAGGTGTTGATAAATGAAAATGAGTGGGAAACAACACAGTGTCATATCAGAGTTGATACTTTTATGATGCATAATTATACATTGTTAGCTCTCTCTACAGCATAGGATAAATATATATATATATATATATATATATATGCACAACATTGAATCAAAAAAGCTTCAGACATTGGAAGTGAATATTCTGCTTATTACAGTATATCAACTACAAAGCACCTATGTCTTCTCGATGGCAACAAGGAATAAAATGTGTCTGACCTTTTTAAGATCAGAAATTGTTACTTTCACATATCACAAACAAGTCAGGAGAATGTACTGTACAAAACAAAGGGAAAATATGAGCTCTATCTTTTTACAGTTGAGTAAGTTAAATCGACCACTTGTCCTATATTGTAATAATTATTAATTTCTTTTCAGTTCTAACTGTTTTTATTGTCACTTTGTTCAACAAAGATAGTTCAAAGTCTATGGCAGCTTTGGATTCACTGCCATAAATGGCAAACTGGTTTGCATCCAGATTTAATATTAGACAAAATGATCTGATGCACTAGCTGCTATTACAAAATGTAATCCTTTTGCAGTAGTTTTTTTTCTTACTTAACAGTGTTACACATCATCATTGAGGCTTTACAGAGTGTATTAAAAACATACTCCTGAGAAAAGGACCATAGAGACAGATATAAAGCCTGCCACCAAAACAACAGCAAACAGGAATAAGACCGCACAGAATTTATTTCGCTGGCATAGAGGCTGATGTCCAGGCTGCTCTTCATCAACAGAGAACACAGCCAGGGAGGCGCTGTCGGTGCTGCTGAGTGGGTCTGCATACTGTGGCCCATGGGGCTCCACCATCCAGCGCAACACATTGACTTTCATCTCCATGTCATCGATCATGTGGTCAATTTGGCCGATCTCCTGCTCCAAGGTGCTGCGCTCCTGGCTCTCCAGGCCAGCAGGAAGGGTTGGGCTCTGTGTCTGGTTCAGATCTGGCAGACTGAGCGCTCGAGCTGCTACCTCACTGCCTCCTTCTGCCTCGTAAAATACAAATTGGCACTTTAGTCTTGAAAAATGGAAAGGCAACACCATATATTGCAGACCCTACACTCAGACACAGTAATACATGCTCATGAAGGTTATAATGTTTTAGAGAGGTGTTGATTCAGGCTACAGTCCGTGGTGCCGTTGAACTGTATTGCCTTGTACATCGAGGTGTATCTGTTGTTTAGCCTACTCCTGATATAAATGGGGTGGAAAAAACACTGGTCATAAAGTTGAATCAACAACTGTTTCATCAAAAACTGAACATTATAACCTTCATGAAGGAGGATTTATTGCAAGGCTGTTGTATTAGACTGCATTATTTTTTAGCTAGGTGTGCCTAATAAACTGGCAATAGAGTGAATTTGTCACCATTTCTTTCTGATGCCAGCTCAAAAAATCATCCTCTAAATCATGTCGGATGATCTTTGCAAATCCGACTGTTCATTTGGAAATCAAATACACATTTATTTTCATATCAGCTGTTCACAAAAAGATTTTGTATCTCCTTATTGATTTGCAACCATCCCGACTGCTTGAGACAAACTTCCTGTGATCATCCAACAGGCTGGTATTTAATAACAGTTGTTTTCATGATAGGTTTTTTAACCTTTTAAGTAACTTTTAAAATTGCCTGATAGGCTGCCAAATTTTGTAGCAAATACACAACTCATGACAACACTACTCAGATGAGTGGTACATGAAAGCCATGAGATGTGCACAGACAAAGACATGATGTTGTGCTCCCCCTCAGGTTAATCACTGCTTCACTTCAACGTCAGCAAATGTCCAATAAAGTGCTGCTGTTTTCTAACTTATTTAAAGTCATATTTGGTCATTCATTTTACATAATGTGAGCACAATGAAACTCAAGTTCCCTTAATTGCCACAGAAAGTCAGCAGAAGTAACTTGAGATCCTACGATTTCGCATGTTAACATTACAATACAATAGTCGTTTGCTTTTGGGCCTTGGCACGCCATTAAGTTTCAGTTTTGGCTTTCAAGGGGAAAAAGTTTAGGCACCCCTGATCTAGTTCCTCTAGTTAGTTAGTGATATTAACCTGGCAAGACATCACAGTCCCATTCACATCTAAATAATCTCTAGTAGAAATAGTAGTAGTGGAGTTATTTTGTTGATTCCAACTTTAATATTTGTTGTATTACCTCTTTCTCATTGGCTAATCTACTGCCTGAAATACAGGCAGAGGTGCAGGGCTATCTTACCTTGTAGGCCAGTTTGCACCAGAGCGTCAGTGTTGGCCAGAGAGAAGATGTCACTCATGTTGAAAACCTTGCACATGTCAAGATGCAGGAGCTCTAGGCTGGAGGAGAAGGCCACCCAAAGGAGCTCCATCTCCTTACGCTGCTCCTCAGGCAGGCTCTTGTCTCTGAGATGTAAGGTCAGATGTTGACAGATGGCCATGGCCAACTTTTGGGCCTTTTCACGCGTTTGTCGCAGTTCATCCCGCAGCTGTAAGCTGTCCGTGCACCCACCGACACACGAGGCCAAGTGCCGGTAACATGCCACCACCTGTATGAGGAAAAGGAAAAAACTATTTAATTGTGTTAATTAATATGCAGGGTGAATGTGTTTCAATGTCCTTGCTGGAAATCTCAGAGAAGTTATTACTAGCAGGAGGAGCGAGTAACAGAGGGGTCCTGGTATGCTTCAACCACTTAGACCTAAATACTGTCTGATCCAAAGGGTTAGGCAAGAATACACATTTCTTCTTCAACTCAACGGTTGTAACAACAAAGTGTGTTTGATATCAGTATGCATGCCCCTGCTGTGCAAACCACCTGATCAAGTATACAGTAATCAGTCACAGTGCCCCTATAAGCCCTCTGAGTAACTGTCCACTAGTGAACACATTAATACCATAAGCTTGAAATATGTCTTTAAGCCAGTGTTAACAAGACAACTCAGACAAAGTCAGTGCTTCATGAAAGAAATACATGTTTTTGGGTTGATAAGAAACAGTTATGATTAATATTCATACATCATTTAAAGCTGCTTCAAACAATTACTGCAAAATGTGTAAAATGGGACAGTTCCAGTTGTATGATATAAATCATATGTTAGCATAATGTCTTATTAATAGGCATTAGCTTAGCCCTGGAGGATTAGCAGGTGGGGTTTCAATGAAAAATATTACAAATAATCTGATTATCATTGATCTATTTCTAGATAAGCCAAAACAACCTTGTGCACCTGAGCATTGATAGATGAGAGGAGGGCACACTGAATACAAATAATACAATAACAAATAAAGTTCTCAATATGTGACACTGCTGCTATGATACCCAGATTTTTGGGTGAATAATAAAAATAAAAAAATACATTACATGGCAAACCCTTAAGCAAATTATAGTTAAAAGTAAATACATGGCAATAACTCAGAAAGATGTCAGGCATTATCTAACACAGATTCTAGGACAGTCACAAAGATGAAGTGGACCAAGAAATTCTTTTCAGTGAGAGTGCTTTTTTAGCCACAGGGGGAAAAGATGCTTAGACGCCGTGTGGATGTGTAGTCCGTGACATATGAACATTAGAGTTAAAACAGAACATAGTAAAGATGGAATAATTATTCCTAGTGCAAAACATAATTAGCTTTTTATGACATATTTTTCCATTTTATTTTCTCCCTCTTTTGCAATATTGAACTGTCAATTTGTTAATTCTACAAGTCACAAATATTTGCAAATAAAATGCAGATGATTGCTGTGTAAAAATACTGTCAACCTCATAGTTGTTTTCTGATATTACATTTTTAGAACTGTATTAGACGGCAAGTTGCAAGACTGAACCTGCTTTAATAAACAAGCAGAGAGAATTCTTTGTCCTTTGCTTGAGAAAAAAAAACTTAAAACTTGAGCGGCTTACCTTTATCAGAGACTCCACCAGAACCTTTCCATCAGCCAAAGCCTTGTCTGTGCCAACTGTGCAATCATCGCCCACCTTGTTATTTATAAGTGGCATGAGGATGCCTTGTTCAGAGTCTCAGACTCTGCAAGATTTTGGCCCAGTGGCCCTTCACTCCTCTGGCTGCCCCTGCTCCTCTTCTTCCCCTGGAAGATGCTTCATTCAGTGGCTGAGGGTTGAGACAGACTCCGTCCCAAAGCCACACGATGCATTGCAAAATTCCACTCCAATCACTGAACTGCAATTACAGGTGCCAAACATGCTTTGGAGGCTGGAAAATGTCCCACAAAGAGGCAGAGGTGGGAAAATCAAAGTAATGAGGAGAGGAAAAAAGTGTAATAAACTGATGTAACTCTTAAGCAAGGTGCTAATCCTGTGATTGACCCCTTTGGACTGACGCAGGCTAGGACGGACGGCTAATCTCATTAACTATCACCGAGACCAGAGAGATAGAAGAGCAGCTGGCTGTCTACCACAATGGTCCTTTCACTAACTGAGGAGGCTGCGCTCTGTTACCTCACACACACACACACACACACACACACACACACACACACACACACACAAAAAAAACACACAGGATCCACCTCATTTACCTCAACTGTAAAAGGCCAATACACTACATAAAACATATTCTATTAGGATGGTAGAAATGTTATTTTCATGTTTCTTCTATTATGATGGTTTACAATTGAGGGATTTTACTGATGAGTGTAAATATAGACAACAGGCAAATTAAATAGTGATGCACTTAAAAGGAACGGAAATGTGTTTCTTTGTCCCATCAGGGTCTTTTGTGGTTTGCTTTCCTTCAGGCTCTAGATAATGGATGGCCTCATTTGACCAGGTTGATAAAAAAGTTCTGTGCATTCAAAGCATGAATTTCATGGCGTGACATTTCTATAGTGGTGTGTGTATGCATGTATAACAAGGTTTCTATGAGGAAACAGCACGCCACAAGAAAAGAAACCATACATGTGCGTGCTGATGCCAATGACGTCAAACCAACAGTGCTTACAATTGGAAAAATCCAAGGAATTAACTGACTGTCAATGATTCAGATGAATTACATCATGCCTACACGTTTGAGCCAATCAATTTTATTTTAATAAAAAACACATTTAAAACATTTAAAAATACCATCACAAGAAACACACTCCACCTGAATAAAATAATCAGTCACTTTTCAGATGCTGGGCTTTTTAGTGGTAGTGGCAGTCCTAGACGTTTTCCTGAGTGTCCGCGCAGTCGTAGCCTTCCGTGGAGAAGTCACCGCCTCTTTGAGGTTGGCAAGCAGGCCTCGTTTGGGTTTGGGCTGCACAGGGGACTTCTGGGAGAGTTTGGCAAGTTCTGCCTTAAGTGAGGAAATCTCTCTGTCCTTCTCAACGTTCTGTCGTAGGACGTCCTCCAAAGATTCTGTCTTGAGGGAGACAAAAAAGAAAAAAGAACATTCAACCCACGTACAACAATCATTTCCATCATGGTTAAGTCATCATGATGTATTGTTCTTAAAAGCCATTATAAGTATTTAAATTTGCTGCCCCCAAACCTCAGGCTTCCCCTACTTTGAATCACCTCACCTGATCATCCGCCTTCCTCTGCAGAGTCTCCAGATCAGCTGATTTTTCCAGGAAGCCATCTCTGACATACTGAAGTGTTTCGTTAAGCTCCATCAGCCTTTTCTCTAGGGACAAAATCAACTGAACCAAACATTAAATGGAAAACTGAGCAAGTGTAACATAACCAGACTGAGCCAATGTTTCATCGAGATGCATCACTTCCATTTTGTCCTTGTTACCTGTTGTTTATCTTCACACATTCTCTCCATGGCACATTTTTCTTTGTAAAGCCGTTTGCACCGCTCATCTGCTGTGGGGATAAAATGAGCTGAGTGAAGTTTACTGCCCTTCACAACAAAAATTGTAAGGGCACATTGCTTACAATCACTGGTGAGCCCAGTGAAACAAGACTGACTGGACAACATACAAAATCTGATTATTAGAGATTTTAAACAACTAAATTCACAAGGGATTTCCTGAAAGAGGAAGATAATGAGCTAACCTGCTGCTTCTGTCGCTTTAGACGGTTGAGTCTGACACGACTGGGCCACTGTTGGAGCAGCACACGCTCCTCCTCTGATACTAGACGGTAAGGTCTCCAACTCCGACACCTTACGTTTGAGGGCCTACACAGGAGGTAGAGTCATACTTGAAGTTTTAATGAGAACCCAAAAATCTGAGGCTTGTGTGGACTGCATTACTTTAGTGATAAACCCAGTCCCGGGAGTAGGAGGAGGAGTGGAGATTAAGGACCCATTGAAACATCTTCTGCCCTGTTAGCAGCTGATTAAAGGACATACCTCCACTTTCTCCTGTTCTGCGATGAACTCATCAAGAGGCACATAGTCGTCTTCCAGATTGTTCATGGCACTCTGGTAGGCATGCTCTTTGAAAGCATCCTTGTACATCTCAAACGTGTTCTCCAGCTTCTCTTGGTAGCTCTCCTTTAGCTCTTCTATCTGTCGGCTGAACATTAAGGTAACAACAAGGGGACATGGGAGATGTAGCTGAAATGACCACTGACAATGACTGCATATATGAGAGGTTTATGCATTCAGTACCAATTTGCCAGACAAAGGGAAATCACAAGTATCGAAACTGTAGACACACAATACCCGACAACTGCATCGCTGGCTTTCGCTTGCATATAATAAACCTACCTGGGGCACCCTGGTAGCTCTAAGTATCAATTAACAGCCAAAAGCCCCCCAAAAACGCAAACAGATTAATAACCTACCTACGGAGTTCTTCACTCTCCATGAGTTGTTGCAACATGGCGTCTCCCATTTCCTTGCGAATCTCCATTTCCTGAACCAGGTTTCGTCTTCGCTCAGTCAGTAGTTTTGTTCGTAGGGTCTCAATCATGGTCACAATCTCCTAGAAGAATTCAAGTTAAACATTTACTGGAGACGATTTTGATCTGCACCGTGCATCTTGTAATGACTGATGGTTGATATGTTGATGTAAAGTAAAAACCACCACTACAGTCACGCTTGCAGCTCTGTAAGGCTGTGTTTAGGCACAGCGGTGTATTGAGCTACATGCTAACATCACTATGTTCACAATGACAATGCTAACTTGCTGACAATGTTTTAAGAAACAATGTTTGAATGTGACATTGAGTAGCAGTTGTACATTCTGTGGCAGCAAAGACATGTCAGCCTCATCTTCGTCATCAAGCAGCTCTTCCTCAGACAGGCAGCTCTCCAGGGCCTGGCTGTCGATCACCCCGTTCCTCACCAGAGGTTTACCATCGCGGCCGACCAAACAAGGAGCCAGAGATTCCAGAGGCTTGTCTGGGATCACCTGCACCACCTACAGACAGCACAGATAAGATTAGTGGCTCAACAAGATTGTTCTTGATCCAGGTCATTATAACGCTTCCTCTGGCACCAGTATGTGCCCAGACTAACCTGTTTGGCAACAGCAGAGAATTTCATAACATGGAGAGTCTCGTCATAGGTGGAAGCACACTGGTTAATGTTGACGATCATGGACGCTTTTCCTTTGCCGCAGAAAACGGCCTGGAAGAGCTTGGTGAGCTTACTCTCTCTAAAAGGGATGTAGCTGCTCTTCATTCTGATACAGAAATAAAAGAGGAGTTTACAATGCACAGACACCTGTAGGACTGTATTACTGATGAAAACATCTAAAACCGTCATTGCTGCCTTGCTTTCACACCATTTAAGAGATTGCGCTTGCACTACTTTTTAAAAATCAATCACCTATCCACGTGAGAGTCTTATCATTAACAGTTCAAACCACTGGCATCTTCATTCTCGTCAAACATACTTGTAGCTGGTGATAAACATCTGACACATTTATAACCTGTACCGGTCAGTCTGATTGTTGCGAAGCGCATTGATGCACTTCCCCAGAATGAGCAGGGAGTTGTTTATGTTCCCTGCCTCCTTCAGCCTCTCTCCGAAAGTCTTGGTTTTGTTGCATCTTTCTGAGCCAGCCAAGTCACACAGAGAAAACCTGAGAAACACACACACATCAGAATGTTTTTTCTGTGTTTGGGCTCCTTTCGTGGTGCTGGAGCCATTATAGTGGTAAACTGGACTGCCAAATCAGGTACAAACTAATTTTGGTCAAATGATTCCCGAGCAGTAAGGCTCTGAACTAATTCTCTGTCATTGTCATGTCCTGTGTTTATCCCAATTTACAAATGCTTTTTGAAATTCTTAATTGTTTAAATTGTCTGCTATAGTTAATTGTAAGCCCTTTGAGTTCCATTTTGTGTGAGGGATGCTATATAAAATTATATTTATCATTATGATGGCATTATTTTCCATATTGGCATCAATGAGCCAGCCTTGCTGCCAAATGATAGCCTCAAGTGTCTCATACCTCCCTTGGTTGCTTTTTGATTAAAACTGTGGTAATAAAGCTCTAGGTCTTCAGTTTCAGTGTTAATATAAGCAACTAAACAGTTAAAATGTATACACTGGTGAGGTGGTGACCTTTGACACAATTGTCACAATAATAAAAAAAAAAGCAACACAAAACATAAAGTAATATGTACAGTAGTTATAACACCACGTATGGTCATCAGAAGTGGTATCACTCCATGGAAGCACAGCTGCAGGCAACAAAAACATCCATCAACTAACAAGCAAACAGTGACAGTATCATTGTCAGTACTTGCCAACATATGAACATTTTCAATTATTAATTTAACTGTGCTCCTTGTTGTTTAATGTAAAAACCACAAGTGTAGTAACATCACTTGTCTTCAGAAACATTTTTATTAAAAAGGTTTGACAGTGTGCGAGTAAAAATAAACAAAAAAAGAAAACCCAAAATGTTATTAGAAAATTTCAATATTTCTCCTCTCTGTGCACAACTACTCAACCAATGTAGCCACACAGAAAAACTATCACTAGGTAGGAAATGAGGATGTCTCTGAGATACTTACTCAGAGATCCTTTTAACTGAGCTGCCGTCGATCTTCAGTAGCTTCATGGTAAATATGCTGTGGCTGTAAAGGAAAGCTGGTATGAGTTTTGAAAAAAATTAAAGTAAAGATGTGATGCAATGAACAGTTTGCCTTCTGCTAGACGACTGGTTCATCTTTGTGGCTGCAGCGCTTCTGTTTTTGTTTCCGAACTGTAGTAGTTTGGAGGCTTCGCCCAGGGTCTGGATGTTAATCCACCTGAGATCTGAAATAGATAAATAAAAAAAACTAATTTAAGCCTTGAGCACCATAAAGACTATTGCTGGTAGGTTTCTAGCAACTTAAGAACACCCAATGAAGACATTGTCACACCTTTAACGTACGCGTTTCCAGCACCATCATCACATACTCGAAGAGCAGCACGTTTCTTGGACTTGGAGCACAGGGAAGGTTGAAGCAGATCATACACACACTCATTGTAGATTTCAAAGAACGCCACCCATAAAGCAAACTGGCTGCTGCCGGCTTCTGTTGGGTCGCTTGCCAACACTAAAGGAGAAGAATATAGAGAGAATATACTGCCTAAGTTCATACTGAGACAGCTTACTTACACTGTTTTTAAAATGTAAGACAACTTATGTTCAGTGTGTAGGATTGGTGGGGGGGGGGTACCGGTTTGATCGTAGGACAAAGAGGAGGATGACCGAGTGGAGGTGGAACAGGTCAAGGACTCTGAACCACCACTGGCTCTGAGAGGATCACACTCCTAGATGGGAGGAAAGAAATGTTTACCTGCAGAGTATGGTTGCAGCGTCGTTTCATTCCCGCAATATTTTCTCTTGTAGAAACATCTAGAAGGTGGATATAAAATTCACTCACGTCTTTGACTGAAGCAAAAATGGCAGCTTTAGCACTTCTTTCCTGCTTGACTTGGTCAGGATCCAGATATTGTGCATCATTCCTGAGGTAGGGTTTCAGATCCATCCCCTCATACTGACGGCCTCCAGTGTAGTGGAAGGTGGCGTCTAGCACTCGAGGGAGTATTCCCGGCTGTTTGGGAGTTCCTAAAAACATTTTGCACAACGTGTAAGACTGGCAGAAGAAGGACTAACACTTGCTTTTGAGTTTCCATCTTTACCTTGGATTGTGTAGGTTTTTCCAGCATTGGTTACACCATAGCTGAATATCAGTGCGTTCTTCCCATCCAAGAAATCAGACATTTGGCTTTTGACAGTGTCCTCAAATAGCTCAGACTGTGTCCTCTCTGGTCCAAAAATCTAAAAAAAAAAAAAAAAAGCCAATGGAAAGACCGTGGGTTGGAAATAAATGTTTCTGTGTAAAAATGGCACAAATCTCATCCAGAATGTTTTAGGAATAAACGTGTGCGAGGAGCTCTAACACATGTTCAGGCAGCTAGGTAAACGGTACTAAAACAAACCTTTGAGAAGGAGAATTTGTGGAGTGACATGCCAATGCCCTTCTCGCTGCTCTTCATGGTGGCCGAACCCTTTGGTGCATTCAGTGTCACCGTCTGGCTGTTTTCAATCACTACACAATCCTGAGAAGAAAATGAGGTACATCGGCAGCCTGAATTAAAAGCATGGACATTTATTTGTCTGATGTTATTAGTGAATGAGAGTTTGTGTATTTTGGGCTACTGTAGAAACATGGTAGTTCAACATTGCAATTTTTATAAAATGACATAATACTCAATCCCTCCACCCCCGCCCAAATGATATGCGTACAGTCCCTTACATTGGTGGAAATCAGATACATTATTGTAGATAAATTGCAATGCTTAAAGTAAGCTACAGAGTAATATTCAACTTATTTACAGGTCAACTTGCTCTTTGTAACATTGTAGATTCCTTTATGGGTTGAAACCCCACTGGACACACGTATCGTCCTGACTATTAACTACTGTACTGGGCACTAGATGGACTGGGTGACAGTTTTTATATGTGTACCTGATCCTCGTTGTCATAGAGCTCCTCTTTAGAGAAGGGCCTGACTCTGAGGTAAACTCTCATGGTCTGCTGCTCAGCACCACCTGGCATTTCATTCTGCAGACAGAGACGACAACATCAGACCTTTTGAACAGTTAACAGGAAATCTGAACAGATCTACTTGGTTACTAAAAAAAAATCAAGATACAATTAATCTAGCTTGGGAGTATAAGATAGAGAGTAAAGAGTTTGACAAAAACAAAAAAGGTAAAACCATTACCTGCTGGGATGAAGTTCTGACAGGAAAAGCATTACCAGTCAAGTCCATGTCAACAGGCTGCATGTGGTCACATTCTTCATTGGTCAGATCAATAGCTGTACTCATCTTGACGCAAGGTAGCTCCAAAATGTCTGAATTTATTTGCAAATTCACTTTATGCACTGAACAAGTGTGCTATATTCTCCACACAAATGAAGATTTAACAGCCCTGTCTCTTTGGAAGATGATTCACATGAAAGTTTTGGCCTTAAAAATGACTTATTTCACCTACACGTAGGTCTGCTGATGTTCTGCCACTGAAAATCAAGGGGGAGCTTGCAATTAGTTTTAATTGAAAGCAGGTGTGAGGTCAACCAATGCCCAACTGGCTTGGAGTTCAACCCTGAACATTATCAACCAAAGACTTCAGTTTTCTACTGAAAAAGGAAAGACATTTTAAGACAGGAGAGGTGTTAACCTTTCTTAGACAAATTCTCAAATAGTCCCTAGACTTGTTTTCCATCTGTCACCTAATGCTATTACAATATCCCAAAAAGAAGGTGTTTGTGCTTCTTAATTCTTTCCTGTAATTTTAACTTGAGAATGGCAGCTAAACAGCTCCAAGACAGTGTGTCTCACAAGCCAAAATTACCACTTTTCTTAAACAAGAACTGTTCCCCCAAACCAGAGAAATTTGGAGTCAGAGAGATTTTCGAGAGTATACATTACAAATATAAAGATGAATAACATTAATGTCAGGTATTTGACCACCTGACAATGTGACAAAGAAGAATCTAGATTCTAATCCTAACCCTGAATCCATAAAGCCCTAACCCTATTATTCTTGTTGGAAAAGTTGAAATCATAAGAAATATAAACACACCCTTGTTTAACTCCATATACTCAAGTTGCTACTGCTACCTTACAAGGTTTCATATATGACCAGCAGCTTATGGTGGCTAATTTAGCTAATGTTATCTAGGTATGGCTTTGTAACAGACATTACAGTCTCCTGTGTTATGTTTTGGGGTTCAGTATTATTTGTCACTTGACAAAGTGGTATCTAAAGTATTTCTCAGTCTTTCTGCATGACAAATAAAATCTACGTGTCTTCTACAGTCGTTTGCAAGAATGTGTTCTGTAATTTTATCTTTAGATAAATGAACTGTTTCATAACAGATTTTAATTATTCAGTATGAAAGAAATTGCTTTGCAAAAAAACAAATCTACATGGTTGAACACTCTTTAATGCAGGTCTGACCACATTTAGGTGATGGATATTACCATTTGAGAAATCTTTTAAACTTGATTAAAACAAAACTGCACAACAGTAGATTCAAGTTAAAAGCTCTAAGCAAGATTATCTCTCTACATGTTAACTTTTAATAAAAGCTCTCAGAAAGTTTATGTTAGGAGTCTCCCTGAGTTCTCCAGTTATCACCCTGAATGATGTCAGAAGTGAGAGACTGATTCCCCAGCCCGTTGGCTGCTTCATCAGAACTCACATGAAGTACATCTGCTGTAAATTATACTTGCACAATGTTCCCTCGACTCCCTACAGGTTCAACGCAGTTACATATTAAGACATTTACTTGTTGCTGGTACATTTTCAGATCCACACACACAAACCCAGTCAATAACTGCACATCAGTTTCCTTATTAGTTTCTTTATTGAATCATCTGCACCATTTATGCGTCTGCGATGGTAACTTCAACCTCTACACCTGGTTCGATGCTGATGGAGGTGATCTGCTTGACGATCTCAGATGGGCTGTGCAGATCAATCAGGCGCTTGTGGATCCTCATCTGGAAGCGATCCCAGGTTTTGGATCCCTCACCACAGGGAGTTTTTCTGGTGGTGATACGCAGAGTCTGGAGGGGACAGAAAGATTTTAACTTGAGGGTTTGCAAAGCAGACAAACATGAGGCTGATTCTTTGCCTTTTCTTCACTCTTTGCACCAAGAACCTTCTTGATTTGTGATATACTAGCTTATAACATGTTCGCTAGATCTCTTGTTATAAAGAAAGGATGGGAGAGAAAAGGAAAGCAAAAAAATATTGTGATTTGATAATTTCAAGCGTATTCAGTATTATAACCACCAACGTTTTGTGCACACCTCTGCTAATTTTGTCTCTACATATTTTACAGAGTATTTGCATAAGGAGCTTTTGATAGTCCACTTCAATGCCACTTAACCATTTACCTCAGTTCCTATCTGTTCCTATCCACAGACAACAAATGTCTCATACCAACGGAATTTAAAAAAAAAGTGTCTAGCCTGTGTATTTCAGTACCTTGGTTGGCATGCGGACGGGTCCCTTCACCTTCAGGTTCTTCTCCTTGGCCCCACGGATCAAGTCTGCGCACACTGGGAATTATAAAGAGACAAAAACATTAACACAAGCAACCAGCAATCACTTTGTTATACTTTTCAAAGCCATGGCTCAGAATAGCGTATACAGTCGTCAGGGGTTATCAGATGGAAATTTTATCCTCATTGCTCAGGTCAATGTTCCATTGTCATCACTAATTATTAGGAGCCTTCTTACCCTTCTCCAGAGATTTGACGTTGCGGCTGGTGAGGGTGATGCGGATGCGGTGAATGGCGACCTCGGTCTCAACAGGTGCCTTACCAGTGTCCTTGAAAGCCTGCATGTGTGGAAACAAGAGCCATTTAACCACTGGACATGCCACCAATAGTACATTCAATAGGACTGTAGGCAACATAGGATTGCAACACAATTTGACAATCTGACAGCACAGTCTTAGCTTACATCCCCTACATCAGTGTATATTTTCTATTCAAAAATATTAGTTTAATGAGGTAAAGTACATTCACTATGAAATCTGTTACATCCATTATTGTTGCACCTTTATGTTTGAAATTACAGGATACCAATTACTGCTTCAGACTGTTTGACTTCAAACAAATTGGAGATTTACGTGGAGCACGTAAACGCAGCACCAGCTAACTAGCACGTGGATGGTAAATTTCGATTAAAATTGAAATTACCCAGAAAGTGAGTGACTTTACTTTAGTTAACGCTGTCTAGGTTTAACGAAGATACATTCTCAGTTTGTAAACTTGACTAGTTGAAAGTAGCCTCAAGTTATGACGCAAATACTCTCGTCAGCTAACGTCAGCTATTGTTGGTCAGGTGTCTTTTGTCCCGATGCTCGATCGATAAATATGTAAAGTTACTGTCTGACCCACTGGTAACTGTATACCGACCATCACAACGTCCTATGATCAGTTTCAGAGCCTTTAGTCTTCAAACTATCGTCAACACTTTAACAGTAAAGTCTCTAAGCGATCCTCGACCACGGAGCTGAGGTTGAACAACTTGTATCCAGAAGATAAACGTCAGCCGTGTATTTAAAGAGCATGTTTCATTGTTAAGTAACATAGTTAGTCCTTAAGGTTCGGGAAATGTGTCGCCTCCCCTATTTATGGGGCTATTAGTCCGTAAATACAAAGTTTATTCTTCAAGAGGACAGTTAGTAAATCATTTGTGGCGGGAGGTCTGCTTCAAGCGGCACTAGCTGTCGTGGTTAGCTAGTGGACTCAGAATAATTTTAATGTGCAAGTTCAGCTATAAAATTAGGAAAGTAGCCTTGGTACCACATAGTACCAGTTCTATTAGAAGAGTACATACCATTGTGAATACTCCTGACCGACTTATTCGGAAGAAATTCAGACGAACAGCGGTGAGCCAGGGACAGATACCACCAACGTGGTTAGCTCTTCACGGGAAAGGACGAGGAGAGGCTAGCGTCCTCATTATGTACTGTTCATCCGGGTTACTCATACTTCTTCTGTAGTGTTTTAGACAACCTCATAATCAACAGCGACACCTAGTGGCTGCGCTGCACTAGTGGACTTAATGGAGTAATGCAGCGTTGTAGGTTCTAAGTGTGGCCACTGGAGGGCAGTACGCGCTCAACCCTTCAGAGCTGTCAATCACACCAGCATCCAGTGCGATGAAGAAATAACTATCACATCACAAATCAATGAAATAGGGCTAAATGATTAATGCCAGCATACATACAGGATTAATAGAGCCACAAGAGAAAGTGGAGATGTAGTTCTTAAAATAATAAACAAACAAATTCATTAAAAAGATAAAACAGATTGTTCTCTTTATAAATATATATTATTTTATGTTCTGTGCCATTATTTATTTGTATACCATGCCACTTACCTCTTGCTGTAACCTGTGCAAATTCCATATCAATCACATCTGTAAAAAAAAAAAGTGTATATAATATAGTTTATATACAACTCTTATTCTATTTTTATTAATCTTGTGTTTCTTTTATTCTATTTTTTATTTAATGTGTATTATTCTTATCGGTTGTGTTGTACCTGGAGCTGCTGCAGCAAGTGAATTTCCCCAGTGTGGGATCAATAAAGTCTATATTTTCTTATGATCACCATCACTTGTGTAAATAGGGGTGGGCAAAATAAATAAATAAAATCAAATACTAAATAGCATTTATTGCAGAGATGTATTTAATTAATCAAATAAGATGGCATACAGGGTCATATCGTTTGACAATGATAAGCTGCTTGCTAGCATTATTATTATTAATAGCAGATTATTGGACACATGGAGAGATGTAGTTCATATTTGTGACCACCGGATGGGAGTGAAGTGTCGTCAACGCTCAAAAACTGCCGGCTCCACCAGAGGGACGTCAAGGTACACATAACATACAGTTACATCTGGAAAAGATTTTCAAAATAATGTATGTATTGTACTCATTGATAGTATGTGATTGTAATACTTATTCCCATTTTAAGAATAAGAATAATTAAACTAATAAAAACTATATTAAAACTAAATCCACTGAGGAAACTAACTGAAACTAAACTTAATTGGAAAAAGAAATGAAAACGAAATAAAAATAAAAGCCAATGAAAAACACAAAACTAACTTTGGTGACTACTTGAGGGCAGAGAAAAATCCCCTGTGACTATCCAATGCCCATATATATAAAACCATGTTATTACATCAATATTTCTGATGTTCTATTAGTCTCAGATATAATAAAAATGTGTATATTATGAATGTTGCATTACTGATATTTGAAGGAACCTTTAAGAATAAAGAATATGATTATTTTTAGCATTTTTAAATGGTAAGATGAGTCAAAGGTTGTTTACATTTCAAATTAAAACGTAAGACTAATTACTTGCTAGGAAATTGTCACATTTGGCGCTGTTCAAAGATACCGACTGGGAAAATGGAAAAGCAGAATCCTAAATACCCTGCCCACTAAATAACTCCCCAGCAAATAACCGAGTAATCGAAACATAAAATAAATAGGATTTTCTTTTGAAAGGTGAAAGCGGAAGTCGTGTGTCGTGTTGTAGAGGAATTGCTGCTGGTCAGATTCCTGAACAAGTAACGGAACCGGGGTCGTAACGGAACCGGGGTCGTAACGGAACCGGGGTCGTACCGGCTGGCTGCCAGAAAGTTGTTTTGTTGAAACCCGTTAAGATACCCCTATAGTGTTTTAAAGAAAAGGATAATTTACAGAGTGTAGTGTTTGGGAAGAAGAATATAAGTCCTACACTTGTAAGTTAAACTTTATTTTACTGTGCGTCATGGTTTCCAAAAACAGGCCGCCGCCAACTGACAGAGGAACAGTTGTCCGTTACCGTCGTTGAAACCAACCGGAGTTAAATGGAGACGGAGGAACACTTGAACGGTAACTGAGGAGATGAATTTCGGTGTCCCCGCTAATTCGCTGCTGCTTTTCCGTGCCTGCGACGAGGGGGACTATGAAACCGCTCGGGGGATCCTGGAGCCCGGAGCCCCGAAAGAGTCCGGACGGCAGAGCAGGCTGCGGTCAGAAGCTGGGTCGGAGTGCAACATCGCGGACATGTTGTCTCTGGTACCGGTGGACTGTACGGACGAGGAGGGGAACACCGCCCTGCAGTTTGCGTCGGCCAGCGGTCATGAGAACCTGGTCCGGTTTCTGCTACGAAAGGGAGCCTCGGTGGACAGCCGCAACAACTACGGCTGGACCCCGCTGATGCAGGCTGCTAGGTGGGGCTGCGGGCTGTAAGCTCACTGCATGTTCTAATGAAGAGAAGGACGCACCAAACCCCACTCAAAAATCAGCCTATTTTATTTGTCACTCTGTGTCGGTGATGGTGAATTACTGAACTGTATAGCGTAGGAATAGTCAGAAACCACTCTACAATCCGTCGAATAGAAACACGAAAAACATCTGTGTAAAACAATGATCTGTTCCATGAGCATTTATTCAGAAATTGCCAGATTCTTTCATGGAGTTTGGTGTAGCAACATGTATTAACAATCTGTTCATTTTAAATAACTAAATCATATTTCTCAGCGTCATGGTTTCAACAAAAGGTATATTAAAGTGGATTTAATCAAAATATTGTAACTGTCATTGTTCTGAAACTTTGACAAATAACCTTTGAGAAATCATTTCTCTGTTTAAGTTGATTGTTTATATATATATATAGCATTTGCTTTGGTGTCATATTGGTATGCAGTTTTCATATATTTGTCTAAATCTTGAGCATAATTAAAATTTTCCTCATGATGATTATTGTGCAGTTAAGAACAGTAAAGGACCTGGGACTGAGCTGAAAGAGGGGAAGAGTCTGTGTTGACAGTCACTGGTTTGTACTTTTGATCTGGGATTTGACAAGTTGGATTTAAAATGTTCCATAAATCTCACAAATAATCTACTAACATTGATAGTAATTCAAACATTGGAAGCCTTTACTTCCAACATGAGCAGCAAGCCGTTGACAGCAGGAATCTGTATGTCAACACCTTCCAGTCACCTTTCTGTGAAGAGTTTGCATGTTTTTGCAAATTTCTACCAGATGCTCAAATTTCCTCTTGCGTTAAAAGACATAAGTTACATATGTATTACCTGTTGGTCATAAACTTTAGGATGCATTTCCCCCATGGGAATTAATAAAATGTGCTAGGCATGTGTCAGGAACATATCACCTCAACCTTCTGAGAGTTGATTCAGCTCAGAGAAGAGTTCCCTAATGCATCTGTTAAATTGTGATGTACTGTCTTAAACTGGAGAAAATAGATACTTAAGTCCCACTCTCTTTCTTATTCTTTGTGTCTCTAATTCTCCCCCCAGGTTCGGTCACCTGACTGTTGCCCACATCCTGTTGGAGAACGGGGCAGAGATTAATGGACGGAACAGGCTCGGTGCGAGTGTCCTGACTATGGCGGCCCGTGGGGGACACACTCATGTTGTCAAGCTGCTCCTTGAGAGTGGGGCCTATGTTGATGACTATGATCACCTGGCTGTTGCTGCGGAGGCAGTCTCTAACGGCAACAACAACAACAGCTGCAGGTTTTTTACCTTTTTTGATTTTAATGGTTGTCCAAGACTAAAATTCACTTCATATATAGATATTCTTTGAATGTTGTCATTAGTCTGTAAAATCGGTGTGCCTCTCTCCCTCTTTTTCCGTAGCACTGCTGGTTTTGGA